TACCGTATAAAATGATGATCCATATGTAAGGCGCTCCGGATAAGGAACACTGTCGTTTTTTGAGAAGATTAAAGGCTTTTAAGTGCACCTTATAGTGCGGAAAATACGCTAATTGAAAAGCGTATGTACAGCGCGCATCTTCCTCTGCTTGTAAACAGAAAGTTTTGCGCTTCCAGCTATATCAGCACATCATCTTATACGGTAGGGGGCGGTAAAACTCCTATGCGGTGAGCAGCCGGTAACAAGAAGTAGACGAATGAGAACGTCCTCGTCTCAGTTCTCGCGCATGCGCCCATAAGGAAGTATTGGAATAGTGGAATAAAGTCGTTATTTATGTTTTTTTCGCACAAAAAGTAGTCTCGTCGCTTGATAAACTTATAATTGAGCCGCTGTAGGCACATGGAATATTTAAACCTTTTCTTTAATGACTTTATGGGCCGTCAAGAGCCAGTCCCTTAGGCAGTCTATGTAGGACTGATCCAGCTCTCAGATTCAATCAAAAATATCTTTATTTGTGTTCCGAAGATGAACGAAGGTCTTACAGGGTTGGAACAGCATGGGGGTGTGTAATTAATTACTTAATTTTCATTTTTGGGTGAACTAACCCTTTAAAGACCAAACCGACCAATGAGCACTCTCAAGATAATACTGATAATCTAAGATAGTTAAAAGACCAAACCGACCAATGAGCACTCTCAAGATAATACTCTTACTAATCAACAGAACGTGGGACATTAAATATTCTGATCACAGAAAGTCTTTACATATACATCCTGGTTGCTACAGTAGATACGAAAACAAACCAGATGAGGGCCAAAATATTTGTGACTCGTGAGAGTTTACTGTCAGTCTGTATTGATCAGTCAAGGAATTTGTTGCAGTGCTGCCGAGAGTCAAACATCTCTTTCATCCTTTAACTGGGGTCAGGTTCACGCCTGCAGGCAACAAACAGAGTCCGAAGAAACAATTAACCCTTTTACATGTCTCTATGAACTGCCAACAAGACGTTCTACAAGTCTTTTTCAAGAGCCTGAAGCGTAAAAAGTAAAGACACCCTGCTAAACATGAAAATGCTCATGTGACAAACAGTTTATTCTGAGCAAATAGAACATACAGAGGTCGTACTGTTCCTAAACACACACACAGATGATTTGGCCCGGCAGTTATTCTTCAGTTAAATGTCAGTCAGTCTTCAGGCAATTGCTGTCAACAATAGCGCCACACAGGTCAGGTGACTGCAGCTACACGTGACGCATGTGAAGCTGGCTTGGATCCACCAGCTGTTGAATAACGGCATGAAATCGGAGAATGTCACACTCATCCTCACAAAGCAATACAAATCCTTTCTTCCCGGATTCACTGCTAAGGGTATGTGTTGTTTTCTAGTAGGGGGTCATTAACAAATATGGTCAGCTGTTTCATCTGGCTCAGGGGGGCAATTGGGGATTGGAGAGAGGGATCCGATGTGAATATTTAAACTCACAGCATTTGTGTTTACCAGAATTGCTGTCCTTTTGATTACCAATGCAAATGCCTCCCTTTGGGATCTGAAATATTGTAATTGCTCTATTTGTGAGCTTGTTTAAAAAGGTAATTACCCTGCGATCTTAAGATTTATGAATCCTCCTCCTGCATAATTTATCATGGTGAGGGATAGGAAGAGATGGTAATTTAAACGGCTTTCCTTGTCAAGACTTGAACCACATGCTGTGGATTTTTTCAATAAACATGGTTATGCAGGCAGTTTGAAGGGGCAAGCCATTACAATTCTGTGATCTTAGAACATTTGTAGCAATTAAGCGGTGTTTACCAAACACTTTGACATCAACGTTGGCAATAAGCAAGACTTTATTAAAAATCATGTTATTCCATTCCCCCATAGAGAGTGACATATCATTTGTGTATATTCCATTTATTATGCTAAATGTGTTGTTATATAAATAAGCATTACCTTAACTGTATCACAAAGTTTGCGATATATTTCTTCCTCCCCTATTGCAAAATGGCTCTGTTTGGATACGCTTAAATCTGCAGTAGACAATTTCATTGCAGAAAGCTCACACACACGCTGAAAATTCAGCTTTGCCATCAGAGGAAAAAATTTAATTTTATAAGGGTGTCACGATTTCGATTTTAAATCGAAATGAATTCAAATCGAAATCGATCGAAATTAATTCACAATCGTCGATGCTGCCACGCCCCCATGTAACGACTCATGTCAAGCGGAAAAAACACGCGTGTTGAAGTGCTATGGTCAACCTCCTCTAACTTAGCTAAAGCCATTCAAAAGATAGCATGGCAACTGAGACCCATCAACAGAACTTGAACCCCCTCCTCTTTCATTGATGCCGAGACAGAAAAAAACTGTGCCCCAAACCGTATTGCGAGCACGACAGAGAGGGAGAGAGCGAGAGACCTTGCGTGTGTGTCTCATGTAAGACAGAGAGCATCCTGATTGGCCGATTGATAAAAATAGAGAATCGAATCGAACCGTGACCTTAGAATCGAAAATGTAATCGAATCGAGGATTTGGAGAATCGTGACACCCCTAATATTTTAAAATATTATTTTAAATTGTAATGATATTTTACAACATTACTGTTTTTTGCTAATAAAGTAAATGCAGCATTGGTGGGCATAAGATACTTCTTTAAAAAAAATAAATAAATAAATAAATAAAAAAATTCACACACACACACACACACACACTAAACTTAAGATGAAAGCCCCACAGTGAGCCCAAACTGAACTTCATTCAAGCATAAATGATAATTGATGATTTAGCATTCTTCAGAATGATTGTACACACAGAATCCAAACCAGCAAGGTGCCCGAGCAGCTTTGGAAGTGTGCCAGGCCAAGTCTACTGTATGTGGGTGAGGTAAAACAAGAGAAAGTTCTCCAATGTATGAACAAGAGAACTTGCTCATCCTGAGTGAGAACACAGACACGCATACTGATTATGCAGATGCTGCACTGCAAACACAGATAACTATCAGCTGCTGACGGCGGAAGCTTTACTGCGGCGCAGCTGCACGCATAGCCGGGGGAAAACGCTCACAGGCCCCTCAGAGTGACAGGGCAGGAACAGCCTCTCTAGGACATTCATTCACAAGGGCAAGTGGCACACTGTTGAGAAGAAAAATGTGTACCTCAGGAACAGAATAAAATGTCACAATGATCAAATGTTTCTTTTCAGAATCATACAATAAAAGAAAATACTGTGAAGCAAAAAGGATTTTGGGAAGAATAAAAAAACATATTATGAATAGCTCAGGGTTTAAGGTGAATTCGGTGGGGAGTCTTGAGCTACGGAAGAACAGCATGCAAAGAAGAGGTTGCTGGTGGCAATGAGAGAAACAGGAGGAATGGGTCAGATTGATGAGGAAGACCTTCAAGCTGTTTCAAAGCTTCAGTGACGCCCACTGGAGACACAAAAACCCAGGAAGACCTGCTATGGCAGAAAGGAAGTGTTCTTAGAAACTAATAAAACAACCGTTTTTATTGAAAATACCAGCTGTGAGAAAGACCCGAGGACACTGTAGGATCTCAGGATTTTTTTCTAGCAATAGGATGAAGTAGTAAACAGAGCTGAAACAACAATGCCACACCACTCTACACTAATTATTTGCTCATTAAACACTTGTTGTTATAGCACTGACAGATTTGATCTGGATGATAGATTCCATGACACAATGGAGACTGAATGCAAAATGCTGATTGGACAAGCATATGCCTACCGTTTCTTGTGGAAAGATCAGCAGCAAATACACTCCATGTATTGTAAACAAATGCCTTGTTTGTTTTGACTAACCATTACTTTGGTTTAGTGTAACAATGACCTAATGTTTAAAAAATGGTGTTTGTTCACACAGGTCAAAAACCACAAGGCAACAATGATTATTTGACTAGGATTATACAAGATGCATCCATCTAGACCAATATATGGAAGTCCAAGTGAAACGAACAATACACCTGTGCTGTCTATTTTCTCCAAGTGAAAGTCAATAAAGCTGAACACAGTGACACATGAGACCGCGCTCACCTGGCCTGGCCTCAGGCGCACAGGTTTTAGTTCCTGTAACACTTTTACACGCCGTCAGATCACACACTATCCCTGATAAATCAAGTCTGTTCATTGATAAATCATCACACTAGTAAGGGCAACTGAAAGGGATAGTTCACCCCAAAAAAAGAAAATTCTGTCAGTAATTACTCGCCCTCACGTTGTTCCAACCCCGTAAGACTTTCGTTTATCAGAACACAAATTAAGATATTTTTGATGAAATCACTCCTCCATAGGTTTCTTAAGGGTTCGAAATTTGGCGGCCCAGAAAAGTTAAAGACATTGTTAAAATAGTCCGAGTGACTACAGCGGCTCAATGTTAAGTTTATCAAGCGACGAGAATACTTTTTACACGCAAAAAACAAACAAAAATAACAACTTTATTCAAATATTAATTTCCTTCTATGTGGACCTCGAGATTTTTTGTCTCCTGATAAACTTAAGATTGAGCCACTGTAGTCACTCAGACTATTTTAACAATGTCTTTCATAACTTTTGGGCCGGCCAGTTTTGATCTCTTAAGAAGCCTATGGAGGAGTGATCCAGTCTCATATTTAATCAAAAATATCTTAATTTGTGTTCCGAAGATGAACGAAAGTCTTACGGGGTTAGAACAACATGAGGGTGAGTAATTACTGACAGAATTTTTGTGTGAACTAACCCTTGAAGCTTGCGATCACAATCATATTTAACAGTAGTGACATGTGTTACAAGGTAGTGAGAGTTTCCATTTCCATTTTATAAAAGTATGCAACCATGCGGTCTCTTAATCAACATGAGGTCATGAAAGTAGAGTGTATAATAAATAAAACAATAATTAATTGTTATATTTATATTTTTTTATTATTACCACAATTATTATTGATGATAATATTAATAAAAACAATAATACAAATGTTATATTTAACAAGAATATGTATAGTTATTGTTGATATTATTATGATCAATTATCATCATCAAATAATATCATCATGACTAAATAAAACAACATTAATATTTCAAATACATTTGAAATATATGCTGCACTTAAATTGCAAAACACAACTAACTGCACCATCACCGCCACAGGACAGGTCATTCTTTAAAAAAAGTACAGCATAAACATACAGGGAGCAAGTGATATGTACAAGTTTGTGAAAGATGGGCAGTCAAATTAATTTATATTCAGAGCTTCCTGCAAGCATGGAGCTATATAAGGACACAGCTAAGGCAGATGTAGCTCGTCACAATCCAAGGCCTGGTGACCTGATCCTTGCAGGAGGCTCCAGCATTAGAGCACCTTCACGTGTGGCTTTTCCCCCCCCATGTTGAGCGCCACGTTGGGAGGAACACCTGCTGTGTCATATCCAGCGACGGCTGGTCCAGTGGAGCATTCAGCTGTCATAATTCCATTTTGGGACAGGGTGGGAATCTGTAGCTGGCTTCCAGCAATGACGTCGTACCCGAAAAGCACAGTAACAGCACGTCACACACAACGCTCACATTGCGTCCCGTGTCCGTCAGCTGGAATCACAGTCAGCTTCCAAATGAGGCCAGGCAAAGCGGCTGATAACCACAGAGTTGAATCTGTGTCATCTTATCAAAAACAAAAGGCAGCACCCCAACTCATTTCCGTGAGTGAAGGAATGATTATTTTCTTTTCAGTCTATTTTTATCTAGTAGTAAGGTCTGGTTTCTCTTTCCGCTCAGATCAGGTGTCTTGCTCCCTGTGGTGAGAGAGATGCGTGTGTGGTTGGAAATTAATTTGCTGTATTCAAATGCTGCAGAGGTGCGTATTGCATTCTTGGCCGTGGCCCACTGGAGGGGAGGGTCCCCACACATTTTCAGGAAGGAGTGAGTAATACAATGCTATCCTCAGCACAAACCCCCGTAATATGGTCACTCTAGTGAAGAAAAACAACAGAAAAATATGCTTGACAAACCACAAAACCTGAGAAGGGCTTTAGAACAAATCAATGCCAACATTTAGCAAAGAGTTCACCCAAATATAACTAATATGTCCATATGAGATTACACCGGGAGAAAGTATACACTTTATCACCTGCTTGTAACCTATCAACAACACATCCCACACAAGGTTTACATGTGCATTCCACAGGTTTTCATGTACTGTCGTCATTCATTTGACTAGAGTTGCCAATGCAGTATTAATAAATAAATTTTAAAAAAAGCATATTCCTTGTTTGTTATATTCTAATCTAATAGTTTCTCATATATTAAATGTGGAAGATTCATTTCCCTCAGTTACTGTTGAGTTAGTGCCTAGGAACAGCAAAATAAAATTTTTAAATAATAATGACAAACTAACTCCACTGGTTAAGCCATACAATGACCGCTCAAATAAAGTGCACTGTTATTGAAGTGTCAGTGTTTACACTTGAGAAGTCAATGGGTCTCATTCAATAATAATTATGTGGATTATTCATATTTATATTTGGAGCACTTTAAATGAGGGACTGTGTGCCCAAAGTTAGTCATTTGCATAAAACGACCAACCATGCCTACACAAATGTTAGTATGAAAGTTAATCAAAGTGAATTATGATTGGTTTGTGAAAATGTTTGTATGTAAATTGGATGCACACAAATTCGTGTGTATACATGGTCAATGAAAGACACCATTTGCCTTTATGTTGTCTCTATATATGAACCTATAGCTAAAGAGAAAGTAGTTTAACACTGAAACTTAAGTCAACCCAAATTCAGATCGATTATCAACTGCTGCTGGGGGAACATAAGCCACAGTGAAACCCCCAGAAGAAACTTTCGCTTACGTTCCATTAGATCTGCACACTTGCATTCCATTCATGCGCAAACCGCTGACGTTTCCTTTGAGGTTGATGCACATTTAAAGGTAAGAGTCCCCACTACGTTTAAAGGAGCAGAAACCAACGAAAGAGGAACCAGATAAAAGCCAAAATCCCCTAATGTGTCAAACACGTGGATAGGAACATTGAGACGTCGTACGCATTTGCCTATGCTGTTGCCGATACAGAAAATTTCTGTTGCCTATGCCAACAGCCATTCAGTTTCATAATTCAATTCAATTAAAAAAAATGTCTGGAACAAATCTAAAATTCACTCTTGAATTCAGTTTGGAGGGTTGTTAGTAATCAGATGTGATTCTCCAACCACATCACATACTAACTACTTGAAACTTATCCAATGTTTCCAACAGTTTAAAATGAGGAACAAACCAAATGATGGGTCACAGTCTCCCTGAAATATTTTAAATGACTAACTAGGATTTCATGAATAATGTTTAATCACTAGAGGCTAGACAGGAGAAGGGAAGACAGTAAATGAAAAGAGGATGTCCGTCCCCATAATAATACGCTCAACGACTCAAATATATCTCAGGTTCTTTCTGATTGTCATCAATAATATATTACAACAGTTAGTTCCAGTCCTAGAAAATAGAAGCAGAGTTTCAAGAGTTAGTAGAACAGAAATGTAACCTTTCTCTGATAAAAGTCTCTTTTGTTTGATAAAATAAAATTGTGGATTTATTTGATCAAAAATACAGTAAAATATTATTATATACAATTAAAATGTAAATATTATTAAAATTTAAAATAACTGTTTTCTATTTTGATACATCTTAGAATGTAATTTATTCCAAACAAAGCTGATTACTCCCACAGCTAATCCTCCAGTCGTTGTGCTGCTTAATATTTTTTATGGAAACAGTGATTTTTTCCCCCAAGATTCTGTGATGCAAAGAAAGCTCAAAAGAACAGCATTTATTTGAAATATATATTTTTTTCTGTTACATTACAAATGTCTTTACATCAAATATGCTGATTAAAAGTATTCATTTCTTTAAAAAGAACTAAAAATATTTTTTACGGACCCCAAACTTCTGAATGGTAGTGAATGAATGAACCAACATGCCAAATTTTGCATGAAAGTTAATATTATTATTATTATTATTAGCGGACACTTTTATCCAAAGCGACTTACAATTGCTATATATATATGTCAGAGGTTGCATGCCTCTGGTGCAACTAGGGGTTTAGTGTCTTGCTCAGGGCCACATTGGTGTCTCACAGTGGATTCGAACCCGGTTATCTCACACCAAAGGCATGTGTCTTATCCACTGCACCATCACCACCCCACTACTGATGCAGATAATAATACTAATCTTTTATTCACACAAGATAACCCAATACCTATACTAAATAGTCACTGTCACCATCTTGAGAGAAAAATGTCTTGTTTTATATGCATTTACGTATGAAAGGCAAACACAATCCTTTCTATTCTAAGATTCAATTCTTTCCAACAACACATTATTTTTCGGGCCTCATCACATCAGACAATGAGATGTAATAGCTAATGGATAGAAGAGGAAGCATCAACCAGCCAAAGCAAGTGAATCAGAGGAAATCCGCAATGCCAACCACATTGAGCACACATGAGTCAGGCGGTGAGGAGTCCTCTTCAGGAAAATATGAACGCGGTACATTGTTATAGGAGAATTATGAAAACAATGCGCTCACTATCTACAACAGGCGGTTAGTCAAGCGGTGGTGGTAGAGGACTGTGTGAAATCTGCAAGTTTTGTTTTTTAATAAGCGATAAGTTGTGTTTGGAGGTGGTGTGGGGACAGTCACTGGTTAATATTTTCCCATCCAATGCATAAAAAGCCAATAATACATGTGTTTGCCATTAGCATCTTATTTGTAGTTCTCACAACTACTTGTGATGCGTCAAAGATAGTGATTCATTGATAAAGACTGTCTATAACATGGATGTTAACGGATGTCAGCTATGCATTGTAACTAGTCAGGTTCACTTATGCTGTACACAAAAGGAAACCGCAAACTGTTTATGATGAACCTGTAAACTTGAAACGGTTGAAATGAAAACGAGTAGACATCAAAATGAGAAGTCAGAAAAGAGGAGATTTGCATTGCAAATGTTAAACGGCTAAAGTATCCGACTATTTAAACTATGATAAGACCTGCAGAGGCTTGAATGGCCATATTTCAAGGCTTTCTGGGAATGCATGGGGGAAAGCAAATCATATTCATTTTAATACTACAGCTGATACGCTCCTGAAGCATAATCATTGGCAGGAGGTCAAGGATTAACAGCAACTAAAGTATATTACAAGCTCCACAGACCTAGTTTTTCAGTCTGGCTGATCAAATTCATAAAGAAAAAAACCCAAGAGCATAAATGAATGTTAGCTCTTAAATGAGAGTAAAAGGTATGTAACATAGTCATACAATAAATATTGTGAACATCTTATATTTTTTGTTGTTGCATTTTTTAGCATTTGTTTTCACATTTACATTTATATCACACACACACACACACACACACATTTATACCACACATCACATTTATATGCAAATCCAAAAACCTTTTGTTAAATGAATAAAAGCTATGTCTCTGTCAAAAGATGTTGTTAATTTGCTTAACACTAAACCTCAGCACATATAGTCTAGTAAAGAAAAGCCCATTTTCTAGTTAGCAAGACTGCACAAAAATAAACTGTACTTTTATAGAATAATATTTTGATTTAGGTTTTATTGTAAGTTTTCATTTTAATTTCAGTAATTTTGTCATTTAATTCAATTTATGATATTTTAGTTTTAGTAATTTTAGTACTTCAACTAAAACATTTCAGTAAAATGTCATTTCTAATTTTCATGTATTCAAATATTAATAGTTTATTTTATATCAGCTTCATTTTAAAATAACATTTAATAGTTTTAGTCAACAATAACAACATTGTTGTCTAGAATATTTCCTACTTGCTTAACACTGCACTCATTTTTGCAAATTACCCTAATGAAACCTACACAAACAGCTGCAGGAAGAATCATGGTTCTATAGAGTATTTCCTTTGCGCAACAGGCTAGAGAGAGAGAGACAGAGAGAGAGACAGAGAGAGAGAGAGAGAGAGAGAGAGAGAGAGAGAGAGAGAGAGAGAGAGAGATCTACAGTGTGATGATGACTCAGTCTGAACTCAATGAACCTTCTCAAACTCATTTAGAAAAAAAGACCATCCCTCTTTCATGATCCCGCCCCTTCAGGCAACTCCTCCCTCTCTCGCTGCACTCAGCTGACTCTGCTGTCTGTAATGGAGATGAATGTGACATCTTCCTGTCTGTGTGTACTCAGCTTACTCTCTCAGCTGGGCAGCACCTCTAGCTAATGGAAACAAATCTCTAAGAGCAACAAAGCTATACAAAAACCGGCTTTGCTATCAGATCTTCAGCTATTCCCATGGGCCTCAATCCCAGGAAAAGACATTTAAATAGTGGTACACAGATAGGTAGGGAGACAAAAGTAAAGCTGCAGTGTAAAATCCCCAGCTTCAAACATGGGTCCACGGGTCAATAGGAATTTGGTCGCGTTTAGTGACATCATAACAAAATAGTGCTGGTCTATACAACCAGGAGTCCGGGACCCAAAAAGCATGCTGGTGTTACGATGATACAGAGAGCTCCTGATCCTCGCGCTTACTGTGTTATCAGACCAGGCCATCAAGTCTAATGTCACATATGTGAGGTACTTCTACATAGGTCAACAAGCAAATGCTGCACAGGAACATGATGAAAACAGACCTCTGGACTCCTGACCCAAACAATGATTACACAAACGATGATAACTTATTATCATCACCGTCATTATTTGGCCCATTTTCTTAGTTTCCTACATATCATTTTTTACATAATTCATTAAAATGTTCTGACGCCTGATTAAAGCATGCAGTAACACTTAGGATGAGTATATTCATAAAAACCATTGAATAGATCAGTCAATATATTATTGTATTGCCCAAAATGTCTAGCTTATAATCAAAAGTAAAGCCAAACTAGAGATTAAAACATTGTCTCACATAGATAAAAGTTTTTACTGTGGAAAACCACCAAAAACCAACCTACTGCAACACAAGCTATTGTTTCAATTGTCTAATTCTTGACAATACATTGTTAGTGCTCATGTAAATGTTTATCATACTCCAAAAGCCCTAATTCCCTTTCTCAAGACTGATAAAGAAAAACATTAATAATATCGCCCCTACAATGTCTCACGACAAAAACAATAACCCTATATGATTCCCAACCCAAGCAAATATTTAAGCATGCTTTCTTCCAGTAAGTGGTTCTATAGTGTCCCGGGCAAGGCAGGCTGGCGCCGATGTGGGGAGAAAAGGTCTGATCTGACAGAACTCCACTGACATATCACTGCAGCTGAGCTATAGGGCCCTACAACCGGCCCGCTGGCCTTTCACTCATGAAACCTAATATGTGCAGGCCACTAAATCCACACACGTGCGTACGTGCATGCGCGCACGTACACACATAAATTATCGATTATATTTTATATACTGTATACTTAATATACAGTAAATGCACACAAATGCCCATTGTAATTCTGAATGGTACTGATATCTGCCGCAATCGTTCAAAAAAAATGTGCGCGCGCCATAAGTGTGAGTGAGATCGTATAAATAGCGTCTGTGTGTGTGTGAGGGCTTGTATGAATAGACTCTGTGTGCGAGTTAGCGAGAGAACAGAGAAAGAACAGAAGGACAACAGAGAGTTTATATAAACAGACTGGATGTGTGTTGGCTCCTGGATACTAATATTCATCTTAGCTAGCATTAGCAGAGAAAGGACGCTCAAACCTTCCTCTATACAATCACATCTCTGTTCCACCACGTCTCACAAATCCACACAGACATCTTTTCAAGAAAGGAAAGAGGAAAAAAAAGCCCTCGATAAACGGCGCTGAGTGGAAGGAAACTCAATTACCCATAGTTCCGTTGCTAAACCTTTCCTCTGTTTGCGGGTTTTAAATCAGTGGTTTTGTTTTAAATAGTCAAGTATGTCTATGGGGATCACGCTGAAGAAATCGAACCTGGGTGAATTTAGCTTTAGTCCATTTATTTAATATTTTAACATGTTCGAACATCTTCAAATATGCATATTTCCCACCAAACTCTGCAAGAAATTCTGATAACTTTGGGTTTAGCACATAGTGGTGGTTGAATTATTTTGATCATGTGGAGAGCAACCTGATGCAATGCAAATGATATTAACACAAATCATCAAAATGAACTGGGAGAGGGGTGATTACCAAATAAAATGTCAAGATCTGTGAAACATGGCCTGACATCTTCTAATAAGGAATATAAGTAACAAATGACTAGAAATATAAGTAATGTGACAGAGAACCCAAGTGAGCCATGAACTCCTTTTACTCTGTGACAACCACCCAGCAGAGGTCAACACAAGTCACCACAGGCTACAGCTGTGCTTCATAAATTAGACCTTGATGGACTGCCGGCACAACACGAGCCCTCTCAACCTAAGAGAGCTCTTCACTTTGGTCTTGGTTACTCACATGCTGAGCTACAAACAACAAAATTAGCCCTTAAGCAATTGAACTGCTCTTCTATTGGATGAAGCAGATGGGATGGTACATCCTTTAGTGTCATAATCTTTTCAGTCTGTCAGACCTCTGTGACCCCCTGTTGGATATTCACCAGTTACTGATGCCTCTACCTTTAGGATTAGGGTGAAGTCAAAAAAAAAAAAAAACAATTGCCAAAACGTATACTGCATTTGTGGATAGGGATCGTAGTTTGATTCTACGTGTCTGACATGTGATTCTCAGATTAATTGCAAAGTTTAACCATCGTAGAGTGAAAGTTTATCATTTGCACGTTTTAGGTCCTGTCAGTTTAAACATTCAAGAAATGTTTAAACCATTTGAGCGCACGAAGACAAGAAAGAGCACTCAATTTTGCATTGATAGATAAATAATAAATAAATAGAGCTTCCCATAGATATTAAGTTATTTCTGTATAAAGTAATTTCAGATAAATGAAGAGCTTTTGATAAACACTGAAAGGATTTTTTTTATGATAAATAAATAGAGACCTTTCTTCAGATATTCAAAGACATTTCTAATATTTGCTTAGTCAGGGTCTATTTTTCCTGGTTTGTTTGCTGTAGCAGGCAGTAAAGCTCACATACATCAACTTGATGCAACCTGGACACATCATCTGTGATGTTACCTGGGGTCACAGAGAGCTTCATGTTTTTCAAGCAGCATACACTCTCACACTCGGCCCCAGCTTGTGTCCAGGTAGCCCTACCCCCCGTGGTACTCTCTCCTTATCCACAGCCACCTTGAGGCAACTTCTGCTGACTCTGTGACCTCTTTGATGGCCCTTCGCTTAGTGCCCCCTATGATGCCCAGGATGTTGTAGGCCCTGCAGAGAGACTGGCCAGCAAACCCTCTGCATCCCACCTTTCAACTCCCAACTCCCAGTCTCATGCTGTTGCTAGAAGGCCAGATGAGGCAGCCCTGGCAGCTAATGGTGGCTTCTCCCCAGCCCGGACGAAAGCAGTGGTGTTCTCCACTGGGCAGAGGCGCTTGCAGTGGCCAATTCCACAGCTGATGGTATTCGCTATAGCCTTCAGGACTTGGTCATGGCGCCAATGGTAGCCCCCCTCGCCCAGGGCCTTCAAACTGCAGCTGAGGATGTGCTCCAAGGTCCCCCTCTTCAGGCAGAGGTTGCAGGCTGGTGACTCCACCAATCCTCAGCTGAACAGGTTGGATGGGCTCGGTAGTACATTGTATAAAGCCTGGATCAGGAACCGCATGCAATGGGGGTCTGCTTTCCACAGCTCTGCGGTCAACTCCATGCTCCAATCTTGTCCAGGATCCCTGCTGCCGCATTCCAACCATCCTCCTGGCCCGCTCCTCCTCTACTGCTGCCCGCACCACTTGCTGTACCAATGATCTCCTGTCCTTCCCTTGTGCCTTGTTGTAGCAAGATGTTGTGCCACTACCCAGGCCAGCTCTTCCATGAGACACTGCTCCCACCAGTGCCATAGCCACGACTCAGCCACATCCACCGTCTCTGCTGCCCTCCACCTCCACCCTGTCCTCATCTCGATCCCACCCTGGGAGACCTTCTTAAAGCCCTCGATGGTGGAGATTGGAACCTCATAAATCAGGAGGGGCCAGAGAATCTGTGGGAGGATGCCGTGTTGGTAAATCCAGGCTTTGAACTTGCCAGGTAGGCCTGACTTGTCCAAAGCAGCAAGCCAGCCTTCCAGTTCAAGATTGGTTGCATGGATGGCTGCAGTGTCTTTCAGGCTGAAGTTGAACACCTTTCCCAAGCTCTTCACTGGTTTCTCAGTGATTGATGGTATCTGGGTCGTGCCAAGTGTGATATGAGATATGCAAGGGGTAACATACATCTGTCCGGTTGTTCTCTCAGAATAAACTTTGGCAGGGTGATCAGATCTTGAATCAGCCTGAAGGGGTTTACTCTGCAATAACCACCTGGATTTACATTTTCCCGCTTATTACATGGCTACTTGCCACATAAGTCAATAATTAGACATGAAATATCAATCTGAGTCGAAATTTTTTTTTTTTAATATTCGTGGAGAAAGCAGTTGCTAAATCTATTAAATTAGCAAAATGGCAGCAGCTGTGTTTGTATAAAAACAAGAGAGAGAGAGTCCACGTTACCCTGATGACAATTAAATAACTGTACACAAAATATTGACTTGAGTTTTAATATTTTTAGCTCACCAAAAGCTAAACTTCCATGAGGAAAAAACAGTTTCAAGAAAGCGCAAAGTGCCTACTTCAGTGACAGTTACCCAGATAAGCCTCGGTTATCCGTTTTTACCATACTGGTGGATGGCTCGATTGACCTATCAGAATCAAGTGATACACAGAGCTGTGTAATAAGCTACTGTAATTTGGCAAAGACCTGGAACTACAAGTTGCGCAGTCACAGAAAAACATTCCTGTGCGTTATCACTCTCACGCTGACTGGACACAGCAGGACAGATTCCACACCTTGCAGAACCCAGTACTATGATTTAGTCAAAACTGACCTCACTAACCACCACACAAGAATCTTACATCTAGAGTGAACCATCCTTCAGAGGCCACTGGGTTTTAAAGGTAAATTTTACCCAAGTTATTCCATAATTACTGTAAAGCCAATCGTGCCATTACACAATCCTGAGCCTCGCTTCTGAAGTGGGTTTGGTCATAAACACAGGGTTACGGTTTTGGCAGCCAAGTCAGTGCATTGTTCACACAGACGCCAGGATTCCAGTCTGTTTACGGTAAACGTGCGTTAAACCGTACTGGCACGAGGCCTTCTGGGTTGGGACCTGGCATCGTTGGGAATTTTTTCATATAGTCTAGGAATCTTCAAAGTCCTTGATTGTTTAAGTGCTCTTATTTAGTGAAGACAGACCATGTCTATTTATAAACTGAAGGTTTTCAGTTCTCAACGCATAGCTTCATTCCTTGCTCTCTTTCACTCTCCTTGACATCTCCAGTGTGCACTAGGAATAAAGATCTAATTGTTTAAAGAGACCGAATTAACTAAAAGATGAAATAGGGAAGGGGAGTAACTAATAGTTTGCTCTTCATCGTCTCATTTTTAAGGTATTGTACTGACCTGAAACACCTAGTCAAGATAATCTCTGGTCACTGAACAGCAGAGCCGATTTTTGGACATTAAAGATTGCAGATCTAAAATAGGAACGCAGGCCTCTCAACTCTGTCCTAGTTTGGTCTTTTTGGTTTTTGCTACATGCTAAGAGGAGTGTGCACAGCTAATCACAGCATTTGTCCTGCTTTAGATCATCTACTTGTAATATAACTGCAGCACGGTGTAAGCGAATTCCGTTATACCGCTCCGGTCTCTAACTGCAGCTCTTTAAATACACACTGTGACTCAGCAAAAGAGAGGGAACATAAGAGGGTAGATCAGTAAATCAGTGTGTCATGGAGGAAAAGACAAACTGAGAGAGAATGAAACGAATGACAGCTCATTCATAATCACAAGAAAGAAAGCGAACGCCGCCCAAGAAGACTTTGCAGACCATGAATTGGCATATATGAGAAATGCACATCTGCTCTTAACCATTTGAAGAGAGTTTTTACTAGGGAAAAGGGCAGTGCCATAAAACTATTGAAAGTCTTGTATTTTTCTCTGGTTGTAGGGTGTTTCTGTTTTTTTTTTTGGCCTGTGGCTATTTTTAAGCACTAACTGGTTTCAATTAGATTATATAACATAGCAAAACTGGCAGTGTAAGACATACAAGCGGACCTTTTGAACAACCCGATCTTGAAAAGATGGTGCTGTGGCTTGGTACGATGGGCAAATTATGTAGAAAACCAGGTCACTGGAATACCACTATGGATGATTCCTCTTGACTTTCTTTACTGTTATTTAGCGAAGATATGCAAAAGTCATTACTCTGTTATGTTTTGTGTGGCTGTGTGTCACAGACTGTGTGTCACAGACATAAAGACCCTCTAAACATGGAGAGTTTACTGGAAGCTCAGTGGAGTCAGGCCAAACTGTAAGATCATTCTCTTTCCTAACAATGAGCCGATATTGAGTAAGGGCTGATGATCAGGCCTTCCACCCACAAAACAACCAATGTAAAGGAAAAAACATGTAACATGGGGAGATCAACCAATTATTCCCACCTAAAACTCAGTAGCAAAAATTAACTAAAACATGTGGACCCAAATATGATGATCAAACATTCTGAGGGACTTTTAAATTAATAAAAATAAATTCACAGAAATGTTACACAGAACCTCTAGCAACTCTTTACAGCCCATTGAAAACCCCTCTAGCTGACACCAAAATGTAAATAATGCATAACAGAAACCTGAAGTTTCACAGAACATAAGCACAATTTTTACACATTTGTTTCCATTTAATGGAACTTTCACTGCATGGTCTCAACGACTTCTAAGAAGACTTACAATGGAGCTGGAATTGACCGTTCGCAAAAACCCGCCCCCCTTAGTTACTGTCGCTATGTCCGACAAGCTACGCTGCTCTCTCTCTCTCACACACACACACACCATGTTCTCACGCAGTGAAAAATACATTGCGCACTGACAACACGCTGATAGACGCAGACCAGGTTATTTTTCGGTTACTTTTGATATTAAAAATATTAAACAAAGTCTCACCTTTCAAATTTGGTCTTTATTTTAAAGAAATGTAAGCAATAAATACCATTTTGTGGCTCTTTAATGTGTCGTGACAGATCGCTGTAGAGCATCAGTTAAAGTTGCTTGTGATCCAATCATCTCTTCCTTCTAGTTCATTTATTGCATCAAATAAACATGAATGAACATAAAAAGGAATGTTGTTTTAACCGCAGAAAGGCGTCATTACATTCTGCTTTTCAAGTTCAAATCATCCCATGTTAATCTACTAACTCTCCTTACTGCTTTGTCCGACAAAATGGCGGATGGCGAAGTATGATTGGTCAGATCACCTGTCGATCAAGCTCCATGCAAAGAGTCAATTACAGCAAGGGATTCATAGCTTGGAAGATCAGTAAATTAAGGACAGATTTCATAATTTGTTGTCTAGAAGATATTTTGAAGAGCCCTACTAGGAAGAGTAGAGTCTCCACAGACTCTCTTTCGGTTTAAATATAGAAAGATCTTGCTCAACTTTGACTTAATGTAGATAGCTGGGTGATGACCTACACACAGCAATATCTGTTATAAGGACGATTATGCAGAATATTCCATGAGGATACGAGTCTGTGGCACGTTGCTGAAACAAGACTCCCAAAAGTAACTCTAAGAATAATAAAAAAATTAAATTCCAAGAAGACTGGAAGAAATCCTCAAGTCTCGCTTCCAGGAAAAGTCTGTATGGGACAGCTGAGGCAGTCAGCTCTGTGAAACTGTACATGGAATGAAGGACAGGATCTTCACACGATGCACTAGGATGTGAGCTCTACAAATCATCAATCCCATAAACAGATGCCACACCTGGAATAGATGACGCAGATGAGTTTTCTTAGTTGGAAGAGTCGAAGTCAGCTCAGCTGTTTGATAATGACGTCTTCTGCGAGATGCTACCTTGGCTGTTTAAATCACTTTGTGAAGCACTTCAGGACATCCAATTCACTTTGATTCATCTGCAGAGAGAGCGAGAGGAGCGAGCGAGAAAGAGAAAGAGATAGAGAGAGAGACAGATATCAGTTCAGGCTGAGTCAGTCCTCAAGGCACTGGTTATGAACAGAGTTCCTCCTGTTCAAGCCTCATAATTAAATAAAGTCATTATGGCTGAGGCTCTGGTAGAAACAGTATTCATAATATCCACTTTTACTGAAAACATCAAACACTGTTTATATTCAATTAAGGGTCTAATATGAATGTGATTCAACAAAGGATGGAAAAAAAAAATCCACCATTAAATTTGCTTTCAAAGAATTGAAGGAAAAATCCACCTTTTAACTTTAATAGCCTATGATAATTTGACTTTACTGTTTGCATAGACTAATTACGTTTACATGATATGTATTGATCACTAAATACTGACAGAATAAAAGTTTTTGATAATCTTATGTTTTAAAACAAGACGTTTTGCATAATTTTGCGAGTTTAATTACAGCAGTACACATGCAAATATAAGGATGCACAATATGGGTTATCAAACGATACAGGCATTTGTTAACTTTATAGGTATAGGATGATATTGGATATTTAAATTATTTCTGTCTTCCATTTTAAGACTGAGACCTAGCACATGAAGGTATTGCGTTGTTGAAGTTGAAATGTAACAGAAGTAGCGAAAGGCAATTTTATTCATATTGTCACACATTTGAGTGATCATTGGAAAAAAAAAAAATAGTGTAGGGACTTCATTCAATCAGTTGTTGATTGGAAAGAGGCAGATCTGAATGCAAACTTGCAGTTGTTTGTAAAAAAGCGCAGATTTTAAGCAGTCAAAATAATTGGATATCACCATGTTCCAGCATGTCAGATAGATGTCTGTTGTTTCACTGGAAGATTGAGTTATGACATTTTTACTAAAAATTACAAGAAAATTTTTTTTTTACATTTAAAATGAAGCCTGTGCATGGATGACCTGTTCACAATAAAGTAAATAACTTGCATTTAAAAAATATATAGATGCCTATTTTAATAAGCATGTAAAAGTACATCTTATAAAGAGTAATTTCTCGAAAACAACAAGAAATAAACTTGTTACTTTGAAATAAGAAATCTGTCTCAGGCAACAAACTTGTCTTGTAATGCCCAACTAATCATTCAAATCCATTGATTATAACTCTAAACTCTATTCTGAGTCTTTCACAACTATTGAACCAGCATCCCAGAGGTCACTGCTCCTTTACTCTGAATTAAATGGACATTGTGTAGGAATTTCTCCCATCTATCAGGGAAAATGTATTTTGCATTCAAACAAATTGTGCTCTCCAGCGCCTTGCTTTTTCAAATGCGCGTTGCATCTATGGTAGCCATTATGTACCAAAAGGCTATGACAGGATGTCTTCTAATAGCCCTTCGTCGAGTGTTCGTTCGCGTGAACAGGTTTGTTATTTCAAACAAACAGCATCTTGACACAATGAACAAACGAATGTTATATGAATTACTGACTGTGAAAAACATGAACTATTGTAATAAGTAGTTATGCCTTCTTTATTCGTTATATTTTCTGAAGTACGTGCATTACATAGTTATGAATAAAAAATATTGATTTTAAATAATAAAATACTTAAAAAAGTACACATTGTCCCTTTAAACTTGTACACTTTATTTTTATTGCAGATTTCAAAGGGCAAATTTATTCTTTATACATAGCTTAGTGTACAATAATATAGTTTTTAACTGTGCATCTTCTATGCTTTTTATCATATTCAACATGATGGTGCTGCATCATTCAAAATTAAATATCATACAAATATTATTAAGGAGCATCACATTTATCTAACCTTGAAAGCATTAGCTTTAGTGCATAATATCTATCAGGAACTATAAAAAGACATTTCCTCCTGAGCGGGATATGGAGGAAACTGATTGGCCAGCTGTCCTCTAACAACTTTAACTGTTGTATTGTATTGCCCTACATCTATAGTTTATTGCTTTAACACCCTCATGGTGTTTCTTTTGTGCCACAAGGAAGAAAAGACTGACTGTAACCAATGCAAGAACCCTTATTTAGAAATACATTTAAAATAAGACCCCCTACTTATACTTACGACATACTTAGATTCTCCAGATAAACTCTTGGGTAAATGTATTACTCAGTCAAGCATCCACTCAAGTCACAGTGAGCTCTTGACCTTTGGCTGCTGAGAACACACTTCATGGTTTTTTCTAACATCAAGATCTGTGCAGGCATCTGCTCAGCACCATTACATCATAAGACTCAAGAGGGCATTAAAACCATCATAGTAGAACATGACATCTCCAACTACTGTCCCATCTGTTCTGGAAAGCTCCCTGCCAGTTAAACTAACACCTTTCAAACTCTGTCGCCCTCCACCACAGGACATCTAAATAAATCAAGTCAAGAGACATTCATTCTGAATTTGACACACTCACTTCTGTTCAGCATTTGAATGTAAATGTAAAAATACTTCAAGCTCAATGACAAAACAATTAGGATCTAAAAATATATATATGCGTACTAAAGAAGTTATATATATTTATAGTTAATTGTATATGCTCATTACCTTTGTCGCGATGTTGTTATAATTCAAAACATTTCCGATAAAATAAAACTGAAATAAAATGCAATATTAATGTTAGAAAAAAGTGCTGCCTTGGCAACTAACTTAAATAAAATAAGTTTAGGCCCATGTTGAAGTACTAAGATTCTTTATCTAACATCATCTAACACTCACTTTAAATTATTCTTTGAAGACACTGAGAATTTATAAGTTTTGATTGTAGCATTTAAAATTACGGATTTTAGTTTTTAGTATTTATTTTTAATTTATTTTGAAAAAAAAATAGGATAGAATTTTATCAAAAAATTTCAAGACAATCACAAGCTGCTTAATATTGAGAGCAATTTTTTTGAAAGAAAGAAAAAAGCATTATTTCCTCTGAATCATTTACTGGTTCCTCTAATTTTGCCAGATGTTATTTGAAAACAAAGAGTTAACTTGTATATAAAAATTGTTGTTTTTTTTTTTTCAATATGAAGTTTCACATTTGTTATGTGGCTTTGTCCAATCAGCACACGGTATGAGCCATTTTAATAATTCATTGTGTTTGGTTGCGATATGTCTATACATCCGTGTGTGTGTGTGTGTGTGTGCGCAGAAGAACATGATACTCCTAACAAACACAGGCACACCACAACACAAACATGCACAGTGACATAAACACACACAACCCACAAAAGACACATTACTGAGCTCTCTCATTCCACGTTTGAGCATGGTTTATCATAGCCAGATATAATCAAACAAAAGAAAACAAGACAACGTATATGACTGCTGAAGACTAACGTGCCATAAAACTTGTCAAGGCCAAGGGAGATGTGCTGAGGGGGTGGGGGGGGTTGGAGCACTTTAAATGGCAGGAACCTGTGGTGATTGTATCGTATTCTCCAGATGGCCGGCTATCTCCTCTCCTTTACACAGGGGCCGGCCGGAGCAATTCAAGCCTCCCTGGGGGACACAGAGGACTTGCACGGAAGAGTCATTGAGTCCTAAGTCACTACTCATCCCATAACATGAAAGGGAAGGCCACTCACTTTTAGTCAATTATGATGAACGAACCTGGACTCTAGGAATTGCTATCTGATCCGTAAAATGCTCGTAAAAGGCTTGAGATATAAAATGTGATCTGATCATTTCCTTCCACCAAGGAATGCTTCAGAATTAACATGAAGAGATCATCTGCATTTTCTTTTTTCCTTTTATTAAGCAATACAGATAAACACACACACACAAACTAATTTCCAATTCGATGCCGTTTTTGAATGGCCATTGACTGGTTTGATCGAGTTCCTTGTATGCACATTTCAAGGGTCTTGGAAGGGCCTTCCAAAACGCTTGGCAGAACCTTCCAGATCATTGGTGCATGACCTGGTTGTGTCTATGCCTTTGGCGCTGGGATATTATTTAGAACGACCCACCAGCTGTGGTTATAAGGTGCTTTAAGCCAGGTATCATGACTTATTCAGTCCATTCCTGGTCTACAGACCCATTGGCAATGTGATCCTGAAATGACCTCTCTCTTTTCCATAAGGGAAACAGGAAGTGGGGAAGAGAAGACTGTGGAGGAGTGAGAAAGAAGACAGAGAAGGGGTATTGGTATTAGGTATTGAATATTTATTTATTAGTGAATAATTCAGCAAGTAATTTTTTAGAGTTTCTGATTTTTTTTTCTCAATAAGAAGCAACATTTTAGGAAGAAGTTTAGTTCTAAGAGCACAATTAATTGTATGTAATAAAAATACTGATCTTTGCCTAAAATATATTTTTGCATAAAATTCTGAAAAATGTATTAAATTGTTATCCAACAACAGATGATGAGATGACAAATGTGTGATGCCAGCAATTTTCCACTTTTCATTAATAAGTGGAGATTTATTAATAGTGAAATCCATTTAGAAAAGAAGGAGTGTGGTGTTATTGGAATACGAGTTATTTTATATATTTTCCACCACACTAATAATGTTGTACGAATTGTCATGTTGATGTATATATTATGAACCTTACAGGGTTAGTTCACCCCAATATGAAAATTCTGTCAGTAATTACTCGCCCTGATGTTGTTCCAACCCCGTAAGACTTTCGTTCATCTTTGGAACACAAATTAAGATATTTTTGATTAAATCTGAGTGCTGAATCACTCCTCCATAGGCTTCTTAAGGGATCGAAACTTGCCAGCCCAGAAAAGTTAAAGACATTGTTAAAACAGTCTGAGTGACTACAGTGGCTCAATCTTAAGTTTATCAAGAGACGAGAATACTTTTTGCACTCAAACAACAAACAAAAATAACGACTTTATTCAACTATTCATTTCCTCCTCTGTGGGCCTCGAGATTTCACAAAGAGGAACTGCGCTAAGCTTCTGTGTTGTACATCACACGCTCACTATTGGACGACACTTTTCATTTTGAGGTGAACTAACCCGTTAATTACATCAGTAATGTATAATGGTCGGACAATGGAATCTTTTTAAATTCAGCTTGTTTTCAATCTTGCTTGTAACCCAGCTTGTTCATGGGTTATGGAGATTACTATTTATCCATTTGCAAAAATATTGTAATTGTGCAGCTAGATAATAATAATGAAAGTTGGGTGCCCCTAATCCTCCCATGTCTTGTTTTTTCTCTAATGTGTTGATGCTTATTCGAGGAGTTTTATTAATTCCAGTAAAAAATATTTATCTTGCTATTTAATGTGCCAAACCATTTCATAGTGGGTTGGATGGGAATCATTGTAATATGTTTTGTAAAAATCATTGTAAAATATAATTTTTTGGTAAAATGGACATTTTTATTGTAGCGATTCTTCCTATAAGAGATAATGGCAAATTCATCAAATGTTTTAAGCATCCTTCTATATATTTAAGTAATGGGGTGAAATTAAGATTAAATAAATCTGATAGATGGGAGAGATATGTATTATGTAATATTTCCTATAATAAATAGGAAATTCTGATGTTCTATACACTGTAATGTTTTATTGGTAGAGTTGTTTATAGAATCTATATTATAGAAACACTAACAGAAAATAAAATGCAATAATCCTTTTTATTACACCATTCATAGTGTACTCAGTATTATAAAATAACATACCAGTTTGCAGCATTTTATTTTGAATACTGCACTGATTTTTCCCTGCCATCCACGACCCTAGCAGAACAGATCTGTGATCCATATTTGGTTTTTGAATCACAGAACTAGGTAATGGGTTAGAACAGCAATAGGATAGGACAACTCAGCTCTTGGACATCTTTTACAAACCATGTAACACACACAACACATAACAGCTGAGCACTTGTCTAAATATCAGAGCCTCTTATGGAAGCTGGCGCTGCTACCGAAGATTGAGTTTCATATCAATCCCTAAAGAGACACTGCATGCTCCAGTATCACAGAGAGAGAGAGAGAGAGAGAGAGAGAGAGAGAGAGAGAGAGAGAGAGAGAGAGAGAGAGAGAGAGAGAGAGAGAGAGCAGAGCTGCTTCTCTCAGTATTTGGGAAGCAGCCAGTGCCCCTGATGACTCCCATGTGTGAGTACAGGGTGAGACTAAGTGACATTAGCACCATGTCAGCCTCACACTCATCGTTTAAACAGTCAGTCCTTCGAGCCAAAACTGGACCAACTGAACAGGCAATTACAACAGTCACTCCAGGGGCACACAGAGTTTAAATAAAGATTTCTCTGGGCTTTGTGTATTAAGACAAATACACAGTGTCAGGTTATGTAAATGAAAGAGAACATGAGTTCCGGCCTGACTTTCATGACTGACGATCATCATAATGTTTCAATTATGATGTCACAATAGATGTCTACTGTCTGATAAAATGTCAGTAAAAAACAAAAAGATTCACAAAAACACTCAAGAAGCAGCAGTGATTCATAGAGTTATCAACTGACTCCCTCACTGAACCATTCATTTTTGTGTGTAATTTTAAATAAATCTGGAACTGTTACTTGTAATTAAAGATGAATATAAAAAAAACTGTTTTTGCTCCAATAAAATGGTAATCTAAACATTCACTAAAAACATTATTGGCTATTGTTTTGCAAAATTATTGAAAAATATATTATGAGTGATAGGGCAAAACTACAATCATGATCCCTACAGTGACAGCATCAAATCTTGCAACCATCTTGACTTAAAGGGTTAGTTCGGTATTTTACACTAAAAGCCCTGTGTTAAGATTGTTTCTGATAAAATAGAATGATTAAGATTGAAATTTGGAAAAATGCTGCTGTCCCGAAAATTTTAGGTTTCTGTGTTTGCAACCCAACTGGTCATTTCAAGAGGTTTGGAGTTATTCAAACCTCTACATAACAATAACCTCCATTTAACTGCTGATAAGCCATACATGTGGCTATAAAACAGGATCAGATAAAAATGTGATGCTCTTAACCAGTAAACGTGTGTTCCCATGTGGGAGAACAACCAGCCAGCTTGGTTTCTGGATCATTAACTTCAACAAAGTGCCATCCAGCACATTCAGTTCAACATTTGCGCTCATCTAATCAAAACTAATTCAGCGATGTTGCTGCAGCAATCATTTCTGCACGCACCACCAGCTGCTACATCTCCCTAGGTGCATCTGAATCCATGCTTCATGACCACTGAATAATGAAGTCAGCAGTATAGTTTATATGAGAGACAGATGATATGTCAATGTCAACAGTCCTGAGGGTGCTCCACCATTTAAATCTTCCTTGTAAATATGGTCGTCCACTAGACCTCAGGTCAACTGACAGCTGACCTGAGGTACCAAACCATCCAACAGACATCACCCTAAACTGAAAATTTCAGTTGTATTGAAAAGGAGGCCCATGCATAGAGCACTCAATCATTGCGGCCATTCAACCGCAATGTAACAGACTGAAATAAGCCATCTGATTGAGTCAGGACTCCTTTACAGATCTGCACAATGTTCCTGCATTAGTTATAGAATATAAGGCACGTTTGGAAGTGTCAGTGTCACAAAAATGAAAATTCTGCCATTTACATTTAACGTACATTTACATATAATGGAACAGCTTGTCTTTTGAGGTTAGATCATCCCTTACGTCAAATACCTTCAAGAAACTGTTCTCTCTTGCATTTTAACTTTTTTATGGATGTTTTATTGTTGGTTGTTGTCTTTGTTTTTTAGTTTCATTATTGCTTTATTCACTTGTAATGTACAGCACTTTGGAGCTACTGTGTAGCCTGAAAAGTGCTCTATAAATAAATAAATACAATACATCATCTCACCTCGTCCTTCCTTCTGCAGAACACAAAAGAAGCTTTTGTCCATGTAAAGAAATCTGATGGGGTCCTAAACAACACTGGACCCTATTGACTTTCATTGCAAGGTCAACAAACATGTTCCACGGAAGAAATAACTGCATATAAGTTTGGAATGGCAATTCTACAGTTGCTGTTTGTATAGAATTATAATGTTGTTTGGCTGCAAAGAACGATTATGTCTTCCATTCATATTTCTACAGCAGCCCGTCTGTGGTAGTAGGACCATGAAGTGACTTAATATGACATCACGGTAAAGGGAACCTCCACTTCATGACTGTCCACCACCAACATCAAGATCATTAAATCTCTTACAGGGTAGTCCTAAATCCAATGATAGCCTGAGCGCCTCCACACAGAAAATAATTTATGAACTGTCAACACGCTGTACTGAAGAAAGACAGGCACTGCTTACACAGTGACAAGACCTGCAAATTCAGAATAAATCTGCAAAGCTGACTAAAATTTGTGTGGGACTTTTCTGGTAAAGTCATTTAATGGTACATAGAATTTATCATACCATAAAATTAACGATGGACCTGCTTGCACAAAACTATTTGCACAAAACACATGCAACAGCAACAACAACAACAACAACAACAAAATCTTCCATTTTGGGAACACTGTAACCTTTTAGCAAATTATGTTGATTGTTACAACAATAACAACAACAAAAAAAGAAAGTGCACTGTTCGTTACATCAAAACAGTATAAAAAACGGTCGCAAAACTGTATAAAAAGTTATTTATGTAAAAAAAGTACATTATGTCAATATGTTTCATTAAATCAACAGGCTCTGACAAATCAGAATAAATCACTGCTCATTCACATGCAAAGTTCACTGGGTAAAATTAATGTGTAATATTAAAAAATAATGTTTTTTATTAAATTGTTTCGAGTTTCCTATTCAAACGTAGACTGATTACTGTATAAGCACCTGTGCCACAAAACATAAACACATTTTGTTGCGCTAAGGCGAAGTTTTTGTTTTACCACTACTGATGCATCTTAAGCGCAACAATGGAGAAGAATCTTACCATTCTGGACGCCTTAGGCAAGTCAGTTCACTTTCCAGATATGAAATGTTCTTCATTTCCAAATATTTTGCGCCACAGAGCAGGCTACATTAGCCAGGCTGCTAAAGTGTGCGTCCTCTCTCTCTCCTCCATGTGCTCACAGCAGCACGCGCATCGTGAGCGCTTTGCATAGATCAGGGCTTGACGTCACCGCGCGACAACTTCATACTACATAAAACAATTACGAATGAACTTGTGGCGCATAAAGCTTTCCTATATTATATATTGTCTATTTAGTTGCATTATCGTCTTAATATTGATCGTGAATACCACATTATTTAACCCTATGTCTACCTACCTACCTACAATACGCAGACCATCAAATCACATGACAATGTTTACCTTTTGAATGTTTGTGCTCCAAGAGGTTCATAATGCCTGACAAACTGGAGCATGTTTTTTTATTTTTTTTTTTATTTATTAAATTGGTTATATCATGCACCATTAAAGTATTTTGATAAGAGTGAACAGATAAGGAGTTATGTGCGAGAGAGAAAAATGCATCCAGAATAGTTTCCTTAAGTTCCAACATCCAGGTTGCAAAAAAAGACAATGATAGTAGAGAAAATAAAGAAAAGTTAAATCTGGGTATGAAAAGGAGAATGTATGCCACGGCTTAGCAACATCAGTCCTGGAGTCCCAATGTCCTGTGGAGTTTAGCTTCAAGTAACCATGATCAAATAATACAAAATAAACTCACCTGCCTGTAGCCTTCATAATCCTGGGACGGCACTAAACTCTGCAGGACAGCAGCACCCCATGAATGATGTTGCCCATCCCTAATGTATACCTTCTACCAAATCCTAGACACTTTTAAGAAAAGTGGCACTTGTGAGCTGAAGACTAGCTAGTTTAGCTATGGGATTCCCAACATGGTCTTCAAAACTGCTCCACTGAAGGGAAGGCAGCATCTTTTTTGCAGCAGGGGCATCAAAGCTCTTCTTAGCAAGTTAAATGGCTTAACATTTTACATTAAGAAAAAAAAAAATCTTCCTTATAGTAAAGTGTATAAAGGGAAATTATAAACATCTTAATTTTCTTGTGGAATAAAATGTGACTCATCTAAAGCCAACCCACTGTAAACTTGTATTTGGAGCCAGTATAGCCAAGAGCATGAACAGTATTTAACTAAATCAAAATGTAGACATGTGATTCAACCTAAGTGGCTTTACACAAGGCACTGGCTTTGATGCTTTTAGAGAATGTAATTCTGACACAAGCATTAGTCACCCTAAACTGACAAACAGATGACAGCATTGCCAAGGTAAATTATGTGCAAAACAAGACTCATGTATACCGGATGTGAGCCTAATCAATTAAACATTGGATCGGTGCATGACTGAATCATCTTAATGGATTACCTAATGAAGGCTTTGAAGTGAGTCATCATGAGACTGGAAGGCAAAAGCAATGAATCCACATTGAAGACATGATTAGTCAAAAACTTTTATAGAGAAATGCATTTTAGGATTCAGAAATCAACAGCATATTGAATACATATGTGCAATATGTACAAAACTTACAAAAACAAAACATTAAGTTAAGGCCAACAGTAAATGGAACTGCAGACCATTTTATTACTAAAAAAATTAAATACAAATAAATCCAACCTCTGTTATGTTCAAATTGAGGCAGTGTACTTGTATAAATCAGTCAGATTGCTCACTACTTGCCACACCCTCAAGACCTTGTATTGACTTAAGCCAGGGCATAACCATACAAGGATGCTTAAAACAAGTTCAGTCCCTAAATTAAGTCCAAGCAATTTAAGATTTGCTTAACTGCTCAAGTCTCTGTTTCAAATGTTCACATTTTCTCCTTAATTGCTCTTTAAGTGAGATCAGTTTTTGTTCATCTTCTTGCATGGTCTCTATGCACTCAGTCGCCTTCTTAAGTATCACCACTTTGGCAGCTTTCTCGTTGTTCGCCACATCAGGAATGACGTCTCTCAGCGCGAAGAAACTCATCTTGAGCTCATTCCGCCGTTGCCGCTCGAGCACGTTATGAGTCCTCCTTTTATCGTTATCCTCAGAGTCCGACGTCCTGGGACTCGCACATTTTCGGCTGTGGCTAATTTGTTTAAAAACCCGGATGTGGCTCTCGAATTTAATCCGTTTGACTGCAGGCTGCTCGTTCCTCGTGGATGGCTGGGCGGCGTAATTGTGTTGGTGAATATTAACGTGACACCGCTTGAGGACGACAGGGCTTTGATGCGTTACGTTCGCGTCAGGCTTCTTTACAGACTTTCTCTTTCCCACCGTGACAACGTCGATTTCCTCCTCCTCTTCGTCATCTATTAGGATTAAAAAGTAAAAAAAAAACCGTCAATTTGCAGCTCTGCATGCTTATTCATACTAGACAACCAAGCGCAGGTGGGAGCGTCCCCTTACGTAATTGACGCTCACGCTACAATCCATGATTAACGCTCTAATCACCACGAATCTAAAAGATCATATCTTAGTCTTAAAATCCATTAATAAGCAACAAATGACAGCTCAAAATTAAAACTTGTCAAAGTGTACGTTAAGCTGACCCGTCAAGTGAGTATATTAAAATATGTTAAAAATAAAAACTATCACTCACCGGAATCGCTGTCACTGCTGCTAATCCCGCTGTTTGGTGGAGTATCCAGGGGCAGTGTTGTTGTGGAAATCGGTGTGGACGATGGCTTGCACGGCTTTGAGCTGTCAGTCAACGGAAAGGGAAACACTACAGACGGATCAATGCACTGCGAGGTAAAGTTAGGGGTGCTCTCCTGAAGGTAGCTGCTGGCGTTGAGGCTGGACCGACAGCCGTCCGTTGAGTTACACCTGGAAGACTCTTTCCTCACCGCCTGCAGCGACGCCAATCTCTCCGACACCGCCTTCTCCAGCTTCGCCGCGGCTGAGAACCCGCTCCACATACAGTCCTGAATGATAATAGACTTCAGAAAAGACTGGGAGTAGTCCGCATCGCAAATAAAACTGTGGTTAACCACGTCGTCCCCCAGAAACTCCGAAACCATCTCCAGCTGGTCGGCAGTGGAGGGGAAGGGGTCTGACTGAGAGGGACGCCGGCTCGGGGAGAGGGGCGGAGTGGGGAGCAGTTCAAATTTCTTCCATATATCCTCACTGGGCGCCGGTGGTTGTCCATGTTGGTGGTTATAGAAATCCTCCTCTTCGTTGTCGAAATAAAAATAGGGCTGGTATGAATCGTAGTCATAATCATAATTTTTACACGCCATACTTGAATTCAGCGGCATGGTGAGTGCCTGTGAAGAAGAAAGTGTGATTAAGATCTTTCCGACTGGCCCTTTAAATATAGTGATTCATATTATGAAAACCCTAACTTACTGTTTTATCTAATCAACTTACTGAACGTGTTAAGAAATTATTATACAGAAGCCATAAATTAAAATGTCTAAATTCTCAGATGTATTATGGTCCAAAACAAATTAAATGACCAATAGTTCGCCAAAAATATAAATGCAAATAAATGAAAATGGTCTATAAATGGTCATTTAAAAGGACTTACCGTAGCTGTGGTGAAACTGAATGAAAACGTCAATATGGTCAGATTTCAGTGAGTGTATAGTATCAAGTAAAAGTAAGTCCAAAGTGGGAGTGGGTCGAGCCGCTCACCCTGCGCACTTCTGCGAATGCAGCACCCGAGCGGCTGCTTGTCATTTACTGCAAGATTTCGAACAGCTGCTCCCGCGGGTTTTAATACTACGGATTGATTTTTTTCTCCTGCCTTACTCTAAATATTCTTGCGCCGTTCGCGCCAAATTTGCCTGACGCAGAAAGATGAACATATCACTAATGTATCTTCTTAGTTATTATACTAACAGATGACCAAATGACAATGTATACAGCAATGAAAAAATATCCTCAAGATGCGACCTTATTTAATGAAAACGAGTTACACTTGGAACTACTTGTCGTCGCGGACTTACATGGGGGCGGAGCTTTGATAAAAACACTGCATATTGAGTTGTGCTTGAGGATAATTCCGAGAACTAGCACCCAACGCCTCTTATTTACACATTTTACAAGTTCCCCTCCACTGATATCTGTCTGTGGTTTATGGTAAAAGGCTATATACAACCTAAAAATCAACAAATATGTAACTGTTGAATAAAATTAGTCCACTGAAGTCCTTGTCATCCCAATTTAAAATGCCTGACAGCTAATTTAAAACAATCGAACGATTATTTTTGAGAATGGAAATCATTCCCTTTTCTTGTACTGTTTGTTATTGTTTAATTCAGTTATATTTGCATTACAGTAATACTGTCATTAGCCTACTTTTATGTATAATTTGATCATCATCATGATAACCGTTATTATAAAACAAACCAAGTTAGTATTATAACTGATTATCAATATAAGAATGATATATGGTGTTTTCGATCATCTTGACCCAAAGGATACCCTATGGATGGATGAAGGGCCAAACCGTCCATCATAGACAGTGGCCGTCTATGGACCAAACATGTCTCGATTTATCCTCCGAGAAGTGGGTGCTTCCCTCTGGTGGTCATCTGTAATAAATGCTACTGAGACAAACATTGAGTTTATCTGCAGTCATTAAGATATTAAATGATTGTTATATTGAACAGGAATTAAATATTTACCTTAAACCGTTTGAAGTTGTGTCCTTGGAAGTTGTGTCCTTGGAACTGTTTCTAATCTTTTTAGGATTGTTGAATGAATGTTTGGTGAAGGCTATTGTTTTAATGATCACATTCTTATAATCCTTAATAATCCTTTACAGTATTGTGTTTAGAATATTTCAGAGTGTATTGTAGCCTAGGCAAATAATAATATAGGGTCAGCAAGATTTTTTAAAATGTTTTTTGAAAGTATTCTTATACACATAAAAAAAGAAAATCAAAAATACAGTAAAACTGTAATATTTTGAAATATGATTACAATTTAAAACAACTGTTTTCTATTGTAATATATTTAAAAATGTAATTTATTTCTGTGATGCAAAGCTGAATTTTCAGCATCCATCCTTCCTCCTGTCTTTAGTGTCACATGATCCATCAGAAATCATTCGGTGATAAGGAAACATTACTTATTATCAATGTTAAAAACAGTTGTGCTGCTTTTGTGGTAACTGTGGTTTTCAGGGGAAAAAAACAAAAACAATTTTGTAAGCAGTCACCTTTGACCAATTCAACCACATTCCAAAAGAACAAACGCCCATATTATAGCCCATAAATTCATGATAAAATAGCCCATAAGACTATATTCCAAGTCCTCTGAAGCCATATTAATAACTTCATGTGAGAAACAGAATTTTGTTCATGAAGGCTTTGTTTGTGGACTTGATAATATTCAAGACATACTCAACAAGGCTTATAATGACATAAGATATATGGCTGAGCAGATTCATCAGGCCCGACCCTCTCACGCAGGTCTACTTTACAGATATTCAGCTCGACCCGTCTTTTCTTAATTTGCAGAATGCCAAAGGTCCATGTTTAGTCATGAGAGAGGGCCTCCGAGTGTTGAGGGCAGTGGGGATGGGCTTTCACATTAGAGTTACTATTAAAGGTTTTTGTCTCATAGCCAAGTGTGCACAAGGGAAAGCCTGACCCCATGGGAATGGACTGTATACTGTGTTGGACCTTCAGCACTTCAACGTGCAGGAATTTCTGTTTAATCACAGCTATACACGTCAAAATATAGCTCAAACAAAGGGTTGATTAATGAAAAAGGATGACATTGATGGAACACTCTATTTACAATTAAAGTTTGTTGAACAGAACAACTGGAAACACCAAAATTCGAAGAGATAGTTCAGCCAAAAAGGACAATTGTGTCATAATTTTACTCACCCTCATGTCGTTCCAAAACTGTGACTTGCTTTCTTCTGTGAAACACAAAATTTCTAAATATATATTTAGAAAAAGTGTCCTTATAATGAAAATTAAAAGCATCCCATGTTGTTTTGGACCCAATTGACTTTGATAAGCTTATGGACAAAATCAGGAAGCATTCTTCAAAATGTCTTATTTTGTGTTTTGAAAGAAAGCAAGTCTTGAAAGTAAATGATGACAGAATTGTTATTTTTAGCTGAACTACATCACTTTAAAGCACTAGGCATCATGACATTATATTATTATTACTAATTACACGATATGGCGATGTTTGTTCATATGACATTAACTAATGTTAATTTATAGGTACAACTAGCAAATATGTAGTAAAGATGGCTCTTAACGCATTAATTAATGCAAACGAATTTAAAATGATTGTAAAAACAAAACGAAAACAGGCTGTGTGAGATCATCTAGACATGGCTTTAAAATTACACTCACCCTCCTGTGGTCAGATGTCATTGCAGTGTCAAAGTTGCACAATAGGGGGCGTCCTTTCACCGCTATGAAATCCATGTATTTGCTCTCATTTTTATGACAGTCGGTCACAATGCAAATTAGATGTTAATTTTATATAATTTAGTTTACTTTTTTAAGTTTACCATTTTAATCGATAAATCTATAGTATAATTTTCCATTTTCTGTGTAGCAGACTTCTCATCAGCTGCAGTAAAAGTGACAAACACACCCACTTTTCTTCATTTTAATAGCAGACAGAACATAAGAACCTAATCATAGACCACTTTAAACCACATTTTCAATGTTTAATAAGAGGACCAAACATTACTTTGGATTGTCCATGAAATCTCTAATACAAGCTAAACCAGACGTCACGTACTATAATCTAAACGAAACAAACACCAGTTTAAGACACCCTCAACAGCTGTGTATCATTGTCCAATGGAGAAACTTGAAAAACAGCTCATGGGGAGGGATCATTAATCAGACTTTAAAGTACTTTAATATGTTCCATCACAAACATCCTGAGATACAAAATAAATACTTTCAATAGACTTCATTATGAAAACACAGTCCAATTCGTTCCTTTCCTACAATATACAGAATTCACAACATCACCCATACAAAATGTATCATATTTTATACACCTAAACATATGGTATGTATATTTAAAAAAATAGGTCCTCTAGATGACCCAGAAACTCCAACCATTTGTCACTCTGAAACTGTTGTTTTCTAAGATGTCCATCAAATTCATTCAATCTAAATGTTATATATATATGTATATATAACCTCTGTTGACATTTCTTGCCAAAAAGCCACAAAAAAAAGTTGGTCCTTGAAACTGTGCAGTAACACAGGTCACTGCCCCTGGACCTAAAAAAATCTTATCAAGTCTGTCCTTTCATTGAAATAGTAGAGGTAAAGTAGAAGGAAGAGGAAATACATTCCAAGCGAATGATGTAACTTCTCGAAAGATGTAAGTCTTTCCTTTGAAATGTGTAGGACGGCAGCACATTAAAGATCAGCATACAGGAAAAAAATAAGTTAAATGCACAACATTGCTTTGGTACAAATTAATATCTTCACTGTCCTGCATCAGAAGAAAAAAAAATCTCCTGACAACAGCTGGAAGACGCATGTACGCATTTGTATGTCTGCGTGTGTACTGTAACACAGATATGCTGCAGCGGACACCTGAAGTCTTCATAACTGCTATCTAAATCTCCCTCTGTGTTTATTTAAACTGTGCACATTTAAAAGTGCTTCGGCAAGAGGGAAAGGGCGGCAGCAGGGGACAGTAAGCAATAAGTACACTGCCCGAGAAAGCAAGAAGGCCCCGATTCCCACAATGCATCCTGCTTAGCCTAGAATCCACAGCTTAGTATTCTTCCAGCTCTTCCTCATCCTCTTCTCTTAACTCCACGATGTCATCCATGTGGCCCCCGGCCCTGACCTCGTTCATGGGGGCAGAGTCCTCCCCGTCAATGGCCATGTCTTCATCTGAGTCTTTCTTTTTCTTCTGTGTGGGCAGAAAGTCATTTTACCCCAATGCACTGGGTTTCATTGATTGAACACGAACAGAACCTATTTATGTTTAAATCATTCATAAGCCATCCTTATATAATATGTCATATCAAACTGAATTTGATATTTTATGATAGAATGATTTACAAAGGTTTTACAATAAAATATATGAGACGCAGAGTTTGTAAAAGGTCTCATTTGTTAAGATTAGTTAATGCATTAACTAGCATGAGCTAACAATGATACAGCATTTATTAACCTTTGTTAATGCTATTTAATAAAAATGTTTGTTCGTTCACAGTGCTTTAATTAATGTTAACAGATGCAACTTTTGATCTTAAAAATGTATTAGTAAATGTTAAGATTAACATTAGCTAAGATTAATAAATGCTGTAGAAGTATCTTTCAATGTTATTTAATATTATTAACTTAGAAAACCTTATTGTAAAGTGATGCCATGTAAAATAACTATTTAATTTAATAACAAAACAAGAATGGAGCATTTTGTGACACTATATGGGGTATGTTGGGAAATAGAGATGAGAAAACATAGGCTTTTTAAAAATAGGAGTTTTCTTTAAAGAAATTATAAAAAAAGTAAAGAGTAATGTACAATACTGTTCAAATGTATGGGGTCGGAAAGATCTGTTTACTCTCTTTACTTGCCAAGGCTGCGATTATATGATACAGTAAAAACTGTATTATTGTGAAATTCTATTACAATTTAAAATATCTGTTTTCTATTTTAATATATTTTACAATGCAATTTATTTCTATAATGGCAAAGCTGAATATGAAGCACATGATCCTTTAGAAATTATTCTCATATGCTTTTTTTCTGCTCAAGAAATGTTTCTTATCAATATTGAAAACAGCTCCTTGATATTTTTATAGAAACTGTGATACATTTTTCAGGAACAGAAGTTAAAAATAACTAAATTTAAAACTTTTGCAACATGTTAAATGACAAACTGATGTTTATGGGGGAAAATCCTTGTTCTTAAATCTACATTTATAATATAGTTGACCCTTGTCTTATACATCAGTGTGGTTTTATTGTGTTACCTTGTCCCAGACAAAAGTTTAACTTGGAAGACTGAATAATCCTCCTTGAATTTTGAAATGAGCATACAAAATCACTGCTAGAGAAAACACATTTATGTAACTGGACTTTTGACTTGTTGACTCTAATAACTACCCTCAGTATCCTGTGTGTGTGTGTGTTTAATACACAATACAGTATTGGGATGAACATGTCTGGAGATTCATGGCCATAGTGTTCGCAGAACTGAATATTTATTGCTCTTTTACTGAATTAAAGGAGTAGTTCACTTTTTCAAAAAAAAAAAAACTCCCCCATGTCATCCAAGATGTCCACGTCTTTCTTTCTTCAGTCAAAAAGAAATTAAGGTTTTTGATGAAAACATTCCAGGATTTTCTCCATATAATGGACTTCAATGGGAACCAAATGGTTCAATGTCCAAATGAGAGTTTCAGTGCAAACTGCAAACTGTTCAAAGGGCTTTAAACGACACCAGACGATGAATAAGGGTCTTATCAAGGACCCTTCGAGTCATGACTCGAAAAAAGATTAGTTCATTTGGATGAACGAGTTTGAACAGGAGAGTCACGGACGCTCATCACAGAACAGAGCAAGGCGAGCATTTGTGCTTATAAAACGTAACTTTTTCATTAATTTTTTAAATGACCGATCGTTTCGCTAGATAAGACCCTTATTCATCGTCTGGTGTTGTTCAAAGCCCTTTGAAGCAGCACTGAAACTCTCATTTGGACCTTGAACCGTTTGGTTCCCATTGAAGTCCATTATGCGGAGAAAATCCTGCAATGTTTTCATCAAAAACCTTAAATTCTTTTCGACTGAAGAAAGAAAGACATGGACATCTTGGATGACATGGAGGTGAGTAAATTATCAGCAAATGTTTTTTTTTTTTAAAGTGCAACTTCAATCAGGCTTCAGTGTTATTGTACCTGTTTCCGGTAGACATAGCATGCTGCGATTGCAACCATAGTAGACTCCCCAAGGAAACCAGCCAGCAGAGATCCAACACCAAGTGTGGCCCCATGTACCCTGCACAATTTGAGCATAAAAAGCTTTCCAACAAAGTCTAATTCATTTTAATATCCAATTTACAAGTCTGATGCACTAAAGTACAACAATTAGTAATATGTATGTTTCAAGTTTCTACTCATTACTAGTGTAGAATCAAGCACAACACACTTACCCCATGTAAGGCAGCACTATGAGACTGGTGATGAGGACAATGATGCGGAGGACAGAGCTGGGTGCCAGGACAAAGGTTTTCTTCAGGGTCATGAGCCAACCAGTCAGGTGAGCACGAATCGTCACTGATGATAAAAACAAAAGAGAATTCAGTTCATGCAAATTCGGTCTCAAGCAATCATGTGAACATGTTTTACACGCCAGTGATTGCTTGGCTATCAGTATCGTTATATCATAAAAGTCAAGTATAATCAAATTTGAAGGTACTTTGAGCTCTCACTGTGATTATTTCTCTCTCAGCTTCTGTAAGCCTGGGGCATTGTAACTGAAGCTTGACCTTTGTCTTTTCAAATGGACTTTTTTTTTTAAAGAGCAACTGGTCCCCCTAACTAAGACCATCTGTCCATTTGATTATACACTGCACATCAGACCCTAGATAAACCATTTTTGTTTGTCATGAGAAGGCCACAGGAGAATTTGCACAGAATTAAGATTTAAGATTTAAACAGAATTTGAACCTGGGTCATTCACAAAGTCAGTGCCATGACTTTGGGTTCAGTACCATTTTTCCAAAGAAATGAATACTTTTATTCAGAAATGATGCATTAATTTGATCAAAAGTGACAGTAAAGGCATTTAGGCCTGGTTTAGCAAACAAAGTTTAGACTAAACCAGGATTAGGTCTTAGTTCAATTAGGATATTTAAGAAGCTTTTTTTAAACATTATTGGTGTGCATTTTCAAAACACAACAATGGCACTGACATATTCTAAGATATTTCAGTTCCAAGTTGCTTTCAGTTAAAACAGCTCAAACAAGCATTTTAGTCTGGGACTAGCCTAAGCCTTGTCTGTGAAACCAAGGGTTATAATGTTATTTAAGATTTTTATTTCAAAGAAAATTCTGTTCTTTTGAACTCTCAATTTATCAGATAATCCTGAAAAAGTCGCTTTGGATAAAAGTGTCTGCTAAATGATTTAATGAAAATGTAAAAATGTATCATGGTTTCCACACAAGTATTAAGCAGCACAACTGTTTTCAACTTTGCAAATAATAAGAATGTTCCTGAGCACCAAATCAGCATATTAGAATGATTTATGAAGGATCATGCGACACTCAAGATTGGAACAATTATTTAATTATAAAGAAAACAGTTATTTTAACAGTTTACTTTATTTTTGATGAAATAAATACAGCCTTGGTGAACATAAGAGACTTCTTTCATCAAAAAGTCTAACCAACCCAAGTTTTGAACAGTGGTGTATGTCCTGTGTTTTACGTGCTAGTTTATCAAATATTTTGATTATGCTTTCAGCTATCAATAGTAATCGTAATGGTTAAAAATCATCATTTCTTTGTATTGTACTGTAAAAATCTGTATAGAGATATTTTCTCAAAATTGTGTAAAATGTTTGTCTCTTTATGGAAATTTACTAAAAGTGCATTACCTGGAATGGGAAAGAAGGAGAAAATCCGTAATGGGGCGATACACAGCTCAGCAAAGGCATGATCTACTCCTATGATATCCACCAGGATCCTCTCAGAAATGTGTGGCGCCCAGAAAACCACAAAACAGAGCTGCATAGAGAAAGACAGACTGCCTGAATGGGACTATATAGACATCTCACACATAACATGACATAACATAACATACAGTAACATAACAAAGTCAATAAAACCACTCACAAACCATCAATCAAACATCTATTGTAAAATATAAAGCAGTCAACAAGGACAAAAAAAGAAGAAAAAGAGTGTATTCCTGGTTATTTCTGTGAAAAGGCATTCTGGTGGTACTGGTTATCTAGAGGAAAGTAATATAGTAGTATGCGTGTTAATTTAAGAGCCAGCACACATCTGGAAGCTGGTATATTATACTTACCCTGTTAACACAGCTATCAAAACACTATCATTTACACTCATAAGTGTTTATGTATATCTGGGTGGAGAAGAGCCTTTGAGATGCGGGTAACAGCACTAGAATTAGAAGCGTATGCATGCACAGATATGGCCACTGCAGACATGTTGGCACAAGGAGCTGAGAGCAGATCTCAACACTTGCTACAACTCCTTAAAATCAATAACACAAGCCAACCATCAATGATATTTAATTAACAATAAAGTCCAAAGGGGGAATTTCTAAGGAAAATGTTGATATAAAATCTAGATGACTAAATGAAATCTATAGCGGTGCATTCATGCAACATTTCAGTGAAGACACCATCTGGGCAAAACAATATAGCGCTTACATAAGAGATTAAACAGACTCATACAATCCTGATTCTCCCACCACACCTCTGACAGAGACGTGAAATTATGGAATAATAATGATCATCACTGTAGTGAAATACTAAGCAGGCTTTTATCTAGGTCAGGGAGGGAAGATCTGACCCGGTTACAGAAGCAGACAGCATCAATTAATAATTTAGCCTGACTCTAAAGTACTCACACTAACAAAACACACTATCCTAATGCACTCCTTACGGCTTTACAACTATGTGTTTAGTAGCTAAATAAGAAGCATTTGGATTTTTGTCTACTGCAATTTAAATTCAGGGGACAAATGGAAGAATATAATATATATAAAATAAAATAAAATATATATATATATATATATATATATATATATACCTATATAGCGTAATAAGTAAACATGTAGACAAAAGGCAGCAAAGTAAAAAAAACAACAACAACTAAGTAGCCAGATTTAACTACTGATTAGACATGCCCCTATTAAGGGTGCCCAGACATCCCGTTTTCAGCTCTATTCGGTTGTTAAGTCTGACGTCACGCGTGACGTTTAGCCTCTTCCGGGTCCAAGCGCTCCGCTCGTCCATATCTTAACGTTACAACCCATAACGTTAGAGTAAGCCCTTTTCTTAAAGGACTGGCTTCGCTTCAGCGCCAGTGGGTGTTAGGGATAAAGGAAAGAATTGTAACTTACCTTATCAACTGCAGCCATTTTCTCTTTTCTTTCTCGTCACAGTGAAAGCGGTAGAATGACAGTTGAATGTCACTTGTTTTTTTTTTTAACTCCGATCTATTTAAACAACATGGGACACAGCACTGCGGCATGTTAAAACTCGGGCAAAAGCGGTAAGCAGATAGAGAGGACCCAGCATTTGGACCCGGAAACAGTATTATCAGAGTGTGATTACGTCACGACTTAACAACCGAATTTTTAGTGTCCCAACTTAGGAAAAAAATCTTGTTTTGTCCCATATTACTTCTTTCATAATGTTGTTTTTGCTAGGTGATTATAAAAAGGGTGCAGTAGTCTTCTGTCATCCGAGAATGGCTAATCAAATGTAGAAAATTATCATCCAATCACAATCGATTATCAAGTAAACATGAAATACGCGTTTTTAAAGCCAGACAGAGACTGAAGATTGAGAATGTGGATTAACTTACTGTTATAGAAAGAGCCAAACAAACAAAAGTGAAGCGCTTGATGTCAGATTTTGTCACAACTGCACTGCTGCTGGCCAACTTGTTGCTCGGGTTATTCTAGAAAATGAGAAGAACAGAGACAAACGGCAGACGTGAGGAAAGCAGTTAATTTTTTTCTTTATAATCTACAATGTTTTGAGTATCTATAATGTACACTATCATTCAGCAAGAATGCATTTAATAGATCAAAAGTCGCAGTAAAAATATTTATTATGTGAAAAAAATGTATCACTGTTTCCACAAAAATATTATCAACATTGACAATACTAAAATGTTTCTTTTGAACAAGAGCTGCTGAAAACTCAGCTTTGCCATCACATGATTACATTAATTACAGTTACATTGAATTGCAATAATATTTTCACAGTATTTCTTTTTTTACTGTATTTTCGATCAAATAAATGTAGCCTTGGTGAGCATAAGTGATCTTACTGAAAAACATTTCTTTTTCAAATCTTACAGACCTCTAACTTTTAAACAGTAATATACGTAGATCATCTTTATCCATTAAAAATTGATCATTTATGCAACCAGAAAATGTCAACCCATTTCCTGTGGACTTCCTTATTGTGGATCCTGAGTCCTTTTTCTATGGGATAATATCCATAAATAACACCACACCACTGTGCGCCTTTTTAATTACAGTCTCTGGGACTCTAGCTGCAGGTCTGTCTCCATGAACCCACTCTGTTTCCCCCAAAAAGAATTGCTTTGTCATACAGTACAACAAGATAATAGACATACTGCAGTATTGGCACAAAAGGTGGAAGATATATAAACTAATTTGGTCATCCCTTGCCTTGAGACAAAGTTAGACAGTATGATATAAATAAAAAAGCAAAAAACTGCACACTGATTAAAAACGTTTACTGATCGTTACTGGGAGGAGATGATAAACTTAAGTATATACTGTATGCAGAGGATGGTCAGCATTAAGCATTCTGAGTAGTGTATGTTTAAGGATTTAAAAAAAAAGTTACCTACCTTGTCAAATGCAGGGTAAACAGCTCTGAGTTCAGTGAGCCAGCCATATGGCATATGGCCCACTGGATATGTTGCTGTGAGAACTGCAACAGCCTGGAAAACAACGGAACAATGATGGTAACCTTAAACACCCACAATCTAATCTGTTTATAATGAATGATTCTATATCTGAGTGACATAAAATATTTAAAACATGCAGACCTGCTGAAGCCTTTCACTATAGCTAAGTTTAAGTATTAGCTACATATTCACATATATGCTGTATCTAAATGACTGAAAATAACGATTATGACTACAAGTTGATATTTAAATACTGTAAAGGCATCAGTGCTATTGCCAGACTAACCTCTGTGGCAGCTGTGCTTCCTTTCAGATCCCGTGACACAAATAGGTTGACGATGGGTCTGCTAATCCGCTGCGTAGCCAGGATAAGAGCCAATGGCCACCAAAAGCCTAGCATCTTTTTAATAGTGGCATCACCCTATTACACAGAATGATTGTCAGTATATAGCACACATTTGAGAGGGCAGAGCAAGGAGCAATGCGTATAGAAAACCAATAAATAGACCAATGTAGCTGTGATACTAAACTAAGCATGACAAACAGATTTACACAATAAAATGGCAGTTGGTTGAATTGGTGTAAAGAGAGTCAATGGACGTACCCCAACCTCTGGCCCACTGGAGTCAGGGATGTTGTCATGAACGGTCCTGTAGTACCCCAAACCAACGATAGTGAAGCGTACCAAAGCTCCCATATACAGAGAGAGGATTGGGATCAACAAAGGCTCCACACACTCCAAGTGACTGTGGAGCAAAATAGCCACAAATACAACCTAGAGAAAGAGAGAGAGACCATGATTATAATGACAGTGATAAATCTATTATTAATTCAAACCCAAATAAATAAAAACAAATTACACCATGGCAATGAAAAGCATTAAAAAAATGCATCTGAAATCAAAGAATGAAATTCAATTAATCTTACCTGTGCAACAACATCAGAAATAGAGGCACATCCCACCAGGAGACTGTGCTTGTGCTTCAGAAGGATTCCTGCATGAGTCCAGGCCTGAAATTAGAGACAAGAGCCAATATCAACTGTCACTAATCCAATACAAATTTCTCCAGATGAGCCTACTGTGTTTTAGATTGGCACTTTCAGTTTGGGAATGTTGTACTAAAAAAAGACTGACATAAACAAATACAAATCCTTAATTAAATCAAATAAAAAAACAAAAGTCTCACCATTAAAATCCAGGTTTGTTTTCACATGACCAAATTAAAATGTAATAGTCTCCCCTGTTTCTACAATATTTATTGTCTGTCAAAATTATGGAAATCACATTAAAAAGTGAACACTCAATGTTGCAGTTAATGGAATTTTTTTTATTAAAGGCAACATATGTTACATAATGTAGACAAATAGTACAGTGATATTTAACCTGTCAATAATATTGCAGTGGCAATAAGCTTTAGGGGTTTTTCATGGTCTGTTTTTCCCCCATTTCCTTTGAAATTTTTTTTTCACTAGGTCCACAAAATACTTCCCTCTCAGCACCTTTTGGACAAAAATGTCCCTATTGAAACCTATTAAAACTGCAATTTTTAATCCCAGGGCCATTTAACTATAAACTATCTTTGCAATCTTTGTTAAGAGGCATTCATTCTGTTGGCAAGGCTTACATTCTTTAATTTTTACTATTTTTTAGCAGATGGTGCCATTTTTCCAGGTTTGGCCTATAAAACAAATAATCGCTTTATTCCTGTTTTCTGCTTTGGCATATTATAGAGCCAATTGGATAAATTATGTGACGATATTTGTGTGGGTGTGTTGGTATTTATGACATGTATTTATGTTTTTTTACATGGACATTTTTGTCCTCTAAGAGTTACTTTTTTAATTGATGCACAAGGGTTAACCGAAGATCCTCCCATAATTTGCGCAAGTTTTATATTACAGTATCCACTTCCGTTCAAAACTCTTGGGTCTGATTTTTATTGCAATTATCTGATCAAAATATTAAATATTAAAATGAACTGTAATATTGTGAAATATTATTCCACTTTAAAGTAACTGTTTTCTATTTTTATATATATTTCAAAATGTAATTTACTCCTGAATTTTCAGTATCATTACTTCAGTCTTGATGCTCAAGAAACATTTCTAAATATAGCTGCGAGCAGCGATTGCGGGCCCAAGCCGGTGGCACCGCAACCCTGATGCCTTTAGTTACCCAAAGGCACCGGGATGGTGGTACCGCCGGCTTTGGCCCTTTATCGCTGCTCACAGCTATATTTATATTTAATATAAAGCCGGTGGCACCGCCACCTTGGTGCCTTTAGGTTTATTCTGTACGACGTGTAAAAACGTAACCCCGCTTTGACTATCAAAAAGAAGTGTATTGTAGAGCTTGCATCAATGCGGACTCGATGCGCTGTGCGCTGTAACTACATGTGGCTTTAAGCGCATCATTCTCCACTCGGGATGCGCATAAGCGTTTTGTGCCACACTGTACTGAGCCTTTCATATCATAATGCAGTGACGCAATGACAGATTATTAATTGCCTTTCTTGTTCTGTTCCATCTATTATATGTTGATAATAGATAGGACAGAGCACTAAAAACCTCAAACAAAGCACTAAAAACTTAAGCTGTTTGCTGTGTAGTCTGAGAATGAGCTGTTTGATTTGCACCCTCTTCCTCTTCACTGTCCTCCATAAAAACCAGCTATCCAGGTCCATGTTGTTCTAGAAAGTTTGTATGTTGCTGCCTCAATTAACATCTCTGCTATACATTTAAAACATGGCTATATCTAAAATAATTTATCTTTTTGATTTTTGTCATCTTGTTTTTCATGAATATTTTACAACAATACAAAGAGCAATGTGTATTTTCCATTAATATAGTTTGTAATGGCTTTTTTTGTCATAGATTATAATCATATATTTTTTGGATTTGTTATTTATCTTTATAATGAAGTTGTCTGTATTAAGTAGATTGTGTTTAACACACAAGAGTGATTTATTAGTTCAACACATAGTTATAGAAATTCTACTTTATCTAAAAAAAAACCTGCACTTTATACACACACACACACACACACACACACATAAATACATGTAAATAAAAATACCAAAAAAAAACATAAAATGTGTTTTTAGTCAGAGTATTATTTTATACAGAAACAAATATTTGTAATTCAGATAAGAATGAAGTTAGTGTTTTAAAATCTTAAGGAAAACAAATATATTGAAATATAGCACATGAATTTTAAATTCATTCAACTTCAATTACAAATACAATCTTACTTTTATTTAAAGCAAACTATACATTTAAAAGATGGGGGTTATATGCCTATTTTGTCATTTAAAAATATTGTTATGCAAATTGTTATGCAAAAAGACAAGGACTTAGAGACAAGGACTTGTAGGAAAAATCACAGCCAGCCACACACACACACATAAACACAGACAACAGCCCTCCCCTCCCCACACAGACACACACACCCACACCCACACCCACACACACAGAGAGAGAGAGAGAGAGAGAGAGAGAGAGAGAGAGAGAGAGAGAGAATCGCAGGGGAAATAAATCCATTCAAACTACAATATCTGACGTTCTGTTGCTCAGAGCGAATGACTTTAAATTGGAAAGTTGATCGGCTTGACGAGAACAATATACGTGGTAAGTTTTGTAACTGTAGGTAAATTGAGCAAAGTTATAACACACTTTATGTGTCCTTTTTTAGTCATAAAATTCATTTCCTCGCCACGGCCAGACCGTTCGAGATATCAAAAATCCGTCCGGAATTGAGCATCCTCAATGTCTTGACTTCATGCACACCGAGTTTGGTTGTGATTGGTAAACACATGCATTGTGATTTGATGTATTTCTCCTAGGACAATTATTCAAACAACCCATAATTCATAATTCATAAATAACTTCCATTTGAACTGTCATAAAACTTAGAGCACGAAAGTTGTTTGGCCTGATGTGATCTATAATTGTACCGAGTTTCATATTAATTCATGCAAGTGTGTTTGATTTATGGTCAAATGTTCAAATCCCAGTCCAGGGGGCGCTGTCGAGCCGCCCTGCCACGCCCAGTTACCAGCTTCAGCCCGGCCCTGATGGCCATGGGTTCTGACCCGTGTGCAAAGTTTCAAGAGTTTTCGAGGATGTTAAGGCCCCCGAAAATGCCAGAGAAGTCGCACACAGCAAATAAAGGGTTAAAATTAACCTGACAGGCACCCCTCCTCTCACTCACACAGAGAGACACTGAGACACTGGCAAAATTCTGAGATTTTCTCTACATTCAAACAAACATATCTGACTTTCTGTGGGTCCTAGCTAATGAGTGTCAATTAGAAAGTTGTCCGGCTCGAGGAGTACAATATACATACCGATTTTTGTAACTGAAGATAAAACTAACAACCCCACTTTTGTCAAAAGGTGGCGCTACTGAGCCCTCACCACGCCCGTTTCTGCAACTTTGCACATGTCTACTGGCTAATAAATGTGATGTGTCTGTCGAGTTTCATGCAATTTAAAGCATGCTAAGGGTCTCAAAAGCATCCTAAAAGAATGGTAAAGTTTGATGCGTCGCCACGGCAACAGTTTTCAAAGATATCAAGAATCCATTCACAGGTCTACATCTGCCCTATGTTTACATTATACAGATGAAGTTTGAAGCAAATCGGGTAAAAATAAAAGGGTGATTTCAAAGCATTTTGAAAGTGACACACTTCCTGCTGCCAGTTGGTGGCGCTATAACTTTGACTCACAATAGTCACATCCATGTGATCGTCCTCTTACAGCGAACACACTGCTGAAGTTTCATCAAGATCAGTTAATGTATGCTGAAGTTTTAACACACTTCCTGTTTCACGTTTCTCGCCATGATTTCATTTCCTCGCCACGGACAAACCGTTCGAGATATCAAAAATCCCCTCGCAAACTTTCATCCTCAATGTCTTGACTTCACGCTGACCGAGTTTCGTCGAATTTGGATCAAAGCTCTAGGAGGAGTATTTCAAATACCATTGCGAGCGTTTTACAAACAAACCTCAATAGCCGACTTCCTGTTGGGCTGGGGTAAAAAGTAAGAGCGCGAGGTATAGATGAAACAATGAGATCAACATGTGTACCGAGTTTCATATTATTACATGCAAGCGTGTTTGAGTTATGGACCGAGTGTTCGGACCCCGTTCCAGGGGGCGCTGACGAGCCCCCCTGCCACGCCCAGGTACCAGCTTCAGCCCGGCTCTGATGGCCGCGGGTTCTGACCCGTGTGCAAAGTTTCAAGAGTTTTTGAGCATGTTAAGGGCTCCAAAAGTGCCAAAAAGGTAGTAAAATAATAATACTAAAGAAAAATAATTCTTAGGAAAACAATAGGGCCTTCGCCCTTTCAGGGCTTGGGCCCTAATTATGTCCTAAACAGTTTTGCTGCTTAGCATTTTAATGTATTTCCATTTGTTTATAAAAAAAATAGTTGGGTTCAATCTTTAGTCTAGAGACAAAACAATTTAAACAAAACATTGCTGCAGTTTAACCTCCACTGAGAGGCACAGGAGGTTCCACGTGGGCTGTTATTTATCCAAAGGAGCTTGATGGTTTTCCAGATCTAGGCTCTGATGCCTGGCTGTACCACACGATTAAACACACATACTCTCTGCCTATCTGTGCGAGGCAGATGAGCCAGATCTGACGGTCAAAGCAAGAACACATTATGACATTACGACCGAATATCTCCAGGGATGGCATGTCACTCACCATGGCGTCAAGTAAAGGAAAAGCAGCCAGATAGAGAAACGCCTTCCGGGTCTTACTCCCCACAGACTCATCCACATGATGCAGTTTGTTAATGATGTAATAGCCAAGATCTGTGTAGGCTAAATAAGGAAAAGTGAGAACAAGATTAATTTGTATATTTATCAATAATGTACACAAATGACATGCAAGGACACAGAAGTTCTAATAATATATTATATTACTCTGGTCTCTGGTCAAAAATTCCATGTGTTTTCCCTTTTTCTCAGTAATGTGTGCAGTGACGTGATCCACATATGGGTGACGCAGATCTATAAAACTCAGTGCCAGTGCAAATGGGCATAACATGTCTGAGACCACACTCAAGATGATGGAGAGTGACCATGTTATGTTAACAGACTGTAAGTTCTTCATTTAAAAGCACATCATTAAGTGCGGCAGACAGGTGTTGGCATAGTGAATAAAAATGAAAGCCCTTCTCCAAGAGAGTGGTGGTTTGTATTCTATATCCCTTGAGGTTACCCTGGTAACATTCTTTTTTCATGCACTCATAGCAGTAATTGTCATATGGGCACTGCGGAGCAGCTGAAAATGACTCGATTTTTTGCTTTGTGTGTAAATGGCTATTTATGTAAATACAAATGAATTTGGGGTAGAGAAACTGACGTATTCAAGGTGAATATCCTTCATTATTCTAATAAAATGACTAATTACACTGTAAATTTAGACTGTTTAAAGACGATTGGATCGTTTTTAACCACAACCCCCACACTTAAGTATTGGTAATCTGGTAATTATGGGTGGCAGAACATATTTCCTGCTGAGTAGGAGTGCAGTTTTTTTTCCCCAATTTGTTTAATGACAATATAATAATAGAGGATGTACGAAGATATACGAAAATAAATGGTAATCTACTACCCACGTGAGTTTGGATAGTTTCTATGAGTCAGAGAGGCCTCTCCATTCACAGGGAGTACATTGGACAGGCATGTAGTAACCTGGCAAAAAAGCCGACAACACAGCGGATGAACCGTGTTTGGAATATAATGTTCCTTTGTGCAATGACTTTTCCAGAGAATAGTCACATCTGCCTTCTATGAGTAGAGTCTGCGTGATTAAGACCATTTGAGGTCCTTTTCCAGTCATAACACAGCTCACCAAGTCTACCATCATGACATATTTGTTTAGAAAAGTGCTAAACAAAACGGTGTTCCCCTGTACATTTAGTACAAACGCATGCAAGAGGTGGAGTGAGGAAGTGATAGACTGGTAGACTGACCAATGAGAGAGTGGAAAATGATAGCCACGGTTCCTGCAGCGACCATACAGAGGACCGCCTTGGTTCTGTCCCGTTTGCTGTTGACAAACACCAGCCCTACGTTCTTGAAATCACTCATAGGGCCTGTGAAGAACTTCATGAGAGAGTAGGCCAGACCATAACTGGCCAGCATTTCCACAGCATCCTCTTTAACTGCTGCTATTCCCCTGTTTAAAGCCTGTAAAGGAATACACATTTATCAGAAACACCATTTTTTCCAGCATTATATAAAAAACAGACTAGTAGAGTGATTAAAACAATACAGATTTAGTCACATTATCGGGATGAATTGAAATGGTGATAAACTATCACTCCTCATGGGATTCTTTAACACAAAGAAGGTTTTATAGCAAAGATATACAGCACTAACCCTGTATCAACTGACTAAATGCCTTTCATGGCATGCCCCCCAGAAAAGGATCTAAATTTGAGGACTGGTATTTGGTAAGCTGGATAAGTTTGTGTTACACAAGACCGCTGGCATCTCTCTCTTTTAAAAACGAATATGTGCTTAAAAGAAATTGTTATATCACAGTGTAAAAGTCTGTAGACTGTCCAAACACTATCAATTGTATCAAATATCATTTCTAAGCAGAAACAGGATGAAGAGTTATAAAATTACATGTATTCATGGACTTTTATTGAGATAAACACCTGAAAAGTGTGATCAGAATCAACAGTAAATAGTCTGAAATCTCTCAAAGAAAATGGAGATAGAGTAACTCTAAATCGTCTCAACGATAGCCGACTATATTGTGACAATAAAGCTGTAAAAATTGTTCATATACCAGAATTTATCCCTGTCACGTGAGAAGGTTATTTGTAAATGTGTCAGATGTCAAACCTGTTGGAAAAAGATGAGGTGTACTACATAAGTTCTATTTGCTCTTTACTTTGTAAGTGTTACTGCACAATTAAATAACCATGCTATCCTGTCCTTTACTCTAACCTGGTGGTACCTTCTGTACAATTTACTGTGTAAGAGGGCCACAGACCTACAGAGTTTAGTTCCAACCCTGCTTCAACACACACAGACACACACACACACACACACACACACACACTTGCAGTTTTCAAATGAGCCTGAAGGACTTGAGTAGCTGATCAGGTGTGTTTAATTAGGGTTGAAGCTAAACTCTGCAGGGTTGTTGTGGCCCTCCAGGAACTGGAGAACATTGCTTAATATGTTTAAATCTTAAGATTTCATTTGGATGAAACGGTAGATAATGAGTCACAGAATTAATAAGCAGCAAGGCCTGTAGAATAAGAGATCAAGTCAAAAGGACACATGAATGTATGTTTTTTTTGCCTCCTTATCTGCTGCCTTCTTCTGACTCTCTTTGTCTGCCACTTCATCTCTAACGGCTTACAACAATGTGCAGAGAGATAATGGTTGTCTGTTAATGTGGGTAGGCAGGCTCTTAGGGTTGCTACTCACATTTCTTCTTTCTGCTATAAATGAGTTTGAAAAATGTATTTTGTAACAAAAACGAAAGGCAATATTTCATTCCAGTTTTCCCCAAAATTAAATGAGTTCTTCAGTGTAGTGACTTGCATCCATCAAATGCATAGTCATTTTAAAATGTTCTCATTTTAAAGATCTTTACTTACCAAAAAATAATAATTTGTCATCATCATAACAACTGAGGGATTGCATCAACACACTACATTTCCTAATCTACTGTCAATTGCAACAGCTGGATCTGGCCAATGTGTTTCTAATAACTAATTTTTAAAGCCAGTTTATAGATTTATTTCTGCTTTTTAACACAATAACTTTTCATTATAATACAACGCTAAAACATTATAAATATAATAAAGAATTTTAACCATTATAATTATTATTATGTAATTGTTAAGCTACTGATAACATTTATTCTCCAGTGCGAAATATATAGCTAAACAATTACATAATTATTACATTTTTTTTTTAAATTACATAATTACATAATTATTACATTTTTCACAAAATTGTCAAATAATGCTATTCAATTATTTTAAAACCCAAACACAGATCATTGGTCGGCATAGCCCTCAAACATTCAATAAAAAAGTAACTGTGCTCTGTCAATGATCTTAAACATTTTAAATAGTGTGAACATTTTTTTTTATCTTTAGAACTCATGATAATGAGAAAGACTTTCCAATATGTAGACATTATTTATTAAAACCTCGAGAATAAACATAAGAGCATCAAAATGAGATGAGAATATGAGAATAAAGATATTGAGAATAAAATAAAATCAGCCAAGGGTTTTTATAGCCAAACCATTTAAACATGCAAGTTAGAGACTGCGATAAAATAAATAAATACTGTAAGCCGCAGTACATTTGTTAATGGTTGACAAAAACAAGGCCAGTTCACGCAGAGGTGAATACAAAATCAGCCCATCCAAAAGTGCACATTCATCTCTGTCAGATTGCTTTTGCATTGTTCGACGAGAGTGACGCACGTTATTGGATGCGCTGTATGGCCAGCTGTTGACGAACACAGCTGATCGGCTCGTTGTTTGTGATGATGCCCTGTTAACGAAGGGCCGCTATTTGCCCGTTTCCTTACGAAATAAAAGCACCGGATGGCCCTAACCTATAAATTGCGTTATCAACATACTATACATTGGCGAGCAAGATAAACAAATCTCTTGAGGGATGCCATTGCTGCAGGGTCCAGCTCCGAGGATACACAACCAATCTTACGTCACGAAGTGCTGTTTTTAACGGACAATTCATTCACACTTGCCTGTTCGCCGAGGTCGATGGCTATGTTGGTAATGGCCAGCGGCACCAGGAATCGGATGAGAGGCAAGTAGTGCGTGAGCGCTGGGAATTTCACCATGTTCGCCGGGAAGATAGCGGCAGCACTGCCAACATCAGCTGCTCGGATCTGGAAGGATGAGAGGCCGGTCACCGCCTGTCGAGTTCTGAGTGTTTTCTAGCAGAAATCCACCGAGATCAGGTCCGTCCCTGCCCTCCTACACAACAACAGCATCATAAACAATGTTCTGGTGCATGGGAAAATAGGAGGGTCACCAGAAATTTCTGCTGACGGCTTCTCCATTGTTCACCCATCAGTGGAGAGGAAAAAGATACATATAATCGGCCGCGGCGATTAAGTGCGGCACAAGCCATAGACATGGAGTCGCTCGGCCAGTCGCTATTTGCTGCAGATGGCCACTCGGTTTACTGTACTTAAATCATCATCCTTCCTTAACAACACGTGGGAGACGGTCGCTGCAAAAAGGCCACTCCTCTTCTAACGTCACCTGCTGCGTACCACAAACATACACGGCTGTCCAAAATTGAAACTCTTCTTCACTTATTTTGGTCATGCAATTTTACTCGGCAACTTTGGAAAGATGTTAGTGGGTTTATCTCGTACAATATCTTGAAGAATTTCTCCATGAATCCTAAAACCGTTATTTTATGTTGTTTTTTAAGCCGATTCAAATGCCTGCTTTATTATTATTAATCTACTTATTTTCCTATGTAGATTTTATATTCACAAGTGTAAGTTTTTAATTTGTAAACCATTTTTTTCTGGTGTTCACAAATCTTGGATGTCAAGATGACACTGGCTTCAGACTTCTAAGTGACCGACTTTTGGAGCTATACCCAATTAAAAATTAAAATTCAGAAGAAAAAAATTTCGGACCGGAGTAACACCGTTACACGAATTCACAAATCATAAATAACGAAATGAGATATCATTTGCATGTCCACGACACCGCACTGCGGGACCACAGCGAAAGGAAATCTGAAAATCAAACCGCAAACTATCTTTACTCCGGTGCTAAACCCATTACTTCACTACAATTTCCTCCTCCCTTAACCCAAAAGCACTCGTACAATTTGTAAGTCCTACAAACTTTTTACTTTATTAAATGTTTAGATTTATTTTCTTTTAAGTTTTGCCCTCTTTTTATTTTATTTTCCTGTTCCTGTTTAGCATTGTCGAACTTCAGTTCAGCACTATTATGATGTTGTGTTATTATGTTGTTTTACTCTGTAAACTGAATGTTTATATAAAGCATTTTGGCTGACCAAAATTGAGTTCATTCGCTGATAACGGCTTGCCAGAGAAGTCTGAGCACTGCAGAAGGGGATGAAATGGCCGTCCTGCTCTTTATCATACCTGGCTGGCTGCAAGTTAATTTGACCTGATATTAAACAAAAATTTAGTGACGCTCAAGAATCTCAGTAAAAACCGAACACCTTATTTGTTGGCCATCAGGTGGGGCTGCGGAGCAGGCAAGACCCCCTGGGTGTACTGTATTTACGTGGAAAGTCCTGGGTAGGTTTAGTAGTTATTAACCAGTGGCCTAAGTGTAATTACTATAATAAGTAACTTACATAGTATGTACATGGGGTAACAGGACTGTAAAAGGAAGCGTTACCCATATTTCCATATCTTTATGACCGTGTCCGTGACCAACATCTCCTTTTGTGCTCCATGTTTGCTCCTACTTCTGTAGAGAGAGAAATTATCACATCTGCGCAGTCCAAAATTTTAAAAACTTTATATGCAAATAAAACTAGCAAAGATATAATTATCCTTCAAATTAGTACATAATTGAATAGCTCAGTAATTTCTCAACCATGGTGGGCCTCAGCAAACCTCGAAGGGGACTAAAGGACGACTTAGAAACATCTCAACTAAATTATTATTAATATAGACCAGTCCTGTTCCTGTAGATCTACCTACCAGCAGAGTTCAGATCCAAATATAGGCCTACCTGTATGTAAATATCAAGTGCTCCCAAGTATAGGTCTCTGCGGGACAGATCAGCAAGGCCATAAATAGAGGGGCATTTTCAGTACTCCTGAAGGTCTTAATTACCTTATTACACTTGCTGGGAGGTAGATCTCCAGGAACAGGATTGGGAACTCCAGATATAGACCATATTAGGCTACTTTTGCATTGCATTGGTTACCATTAGTTACAGGACTTATTCTTTTCTAGTGCAAATTGAATTGGCCAGTCAGAAACATACTGTAAGAAGGTGCTAGCAAAACATGCTCCGAAATATTTTAAAGATGTTCTAATGATACATTTTTGGCACAATGATATGTAAACCATACAAGATCAAGTGATGCTGCTTTTAGCCATTATGCTCACAAAATCTGAAACCATTTACTGATTAAAATCAGAAAAGATTCCTGCATTCACAAACGTCTAAATCACCTCTTGGCATTTCTTTACTCTTTCATCGTGACATTTGATTAGTTTCAGTGAGCAATTGATTTGAGATGGAGGCGGCCTGTTGTAATGCTGCATCAGATGCTTGTGAATTATTGAGCTATGGCCATTTCTCATTTCCTGCCCACGCTGTGTACATTGCTCTTCAAAGTAATAAATGGTCAGACCGTTAAGATGACGTCATCTACCATTCATTTAATGAGTTTTAGGGGTTGCCTCAGGATCATAATATGTATTGTCTTTTGGGTCAACCCCCTAATGCCAATGACACGGTTTGTTGAATGAATTTCTCAAATGAGATTTGGGAAGAAGAACTGAAGCGAATTCATAACTGATCTATTAATGCGAGATTACAACTTATTCAGTTAAGTGTTGCATAGATTACTCAATGCCAAATCTAAACTTAAATAAAATTTACCCTTCAGTTTCCCCATTATGCGATAGATGCCAGAGCTCTGATGGGACGCATGCACATACTTTTTGGTCTTGCCCTGAGATTTCTGAGTTTTTAAAATAATATTTTTTGTGAGACTCAAATGTTTCTGGAGAAGAAATCGGTCCAGATTTTGAGATGGCTTTGTTAAGGTGTTCTGACCCTATATTAGCATTGACACATTCTCAACAACTGTCTTTTATGTTTGGTATGCTGGTGGCCAAAAGGGTGTTCTTGATGGACTGGAAGCAAGTTGTACCACCCAGTTTTCATAAATGTCTGGCTGAAATGGTTGCTGCCCTCAAGCTCGAAAGGATTTGTTTTTGTAAAGCTGATGCTCCTAAAAAATTTTGATAAAGTCTGGGGCCCCTTCCTTAATTATCTTTCTAAGAGTTCAACTATGTTTGGGCATATTTGTAATATGGATGACTTATCTCCTTTATTTCTTCATTTTATTTCTTTCTGGTATGGGGTGAGGGGGGCGGGGTATTTTATTTTATGTATTTAAAAAAAAAAAGATGAAGTCATCTAAAGAAGACCGTATAAGAAGATATAGAAACCAGTGGAAGAAAACAGAGATCTTAAAACGAATGGGACACTAAACTAGCTTAATGTAATACCTAAAAATCTAGAAAAGCAAAAGAACAAGTCTCGATTTATGGTTAAATTTTTATTGTAATTAAGCAAAGCAATAATTAACCTTGTAAACTAATGAAAATAATCTCCCATCCCAGCTGGAGGTGCAGCTATGTCTCATATAACCACTGTAAAGATTTATTTTGAAATGCATTTTATCCAAAATTTCATTGGTAGCAATTACATAAGGATAACAAATCTTTACACTTATCAAAGTTAAAATAAGAAAGGAAAAATTATCTCAAAACATAAATGCAAGAACTACAATTTGGAAAGCACACAGATTTGTACATTAACTCCTGAGTTCTGTAGATTGTGTGTGATTGCTGTATACTCTTTATCTCTGAGAATCAATATGAGGGTTGATTCCACTTTGGCCTACCGCGTTCATCAAATTTGGAGGACTTTTTGGGTACGAGTGCATTGTAGTGTCTGTCATCTTCAGTAACCAAGCATAGAGGAGGCCAGTCTTCCTTGTGGTCATCCGGGTAGTATGTGATAAACTCTTCTGTGTCACACTTATACAGCCGAACGACCCGGATCGTCTGTTGAAGGGAATGACCCAGGAGGCACATCTCCACCTAAACAACATTACATCAGTAGAGGTTCCTTCATAAAAATACGATCACATCAACCATTTAAACAATGGCATGAATTAAAGGTAGGGTAGGCAACTTTTTTTTTATAAACACTTTTTGTTATTCTTAAGCTCGAACGGATACTTTGACAATTTTCAATCTTGCTACCGACCGCAACACAGCACAGAGACAGCGCTCATGAAGATAATAAACGATATTCATTAAATACTGATAGGGGCAAATTATAAGTGCTGGTACTACTCAACCTCAGTGCTGCATTTGACACTGTCGATCACGACATACTTGGAAAACTGAGATAGTCCAAAAATGCTTCAGGTCATACTTAGGAAGGAGAGGTTATTATGCGAGTATAGGAGACCATAAGTCTGAGTGGACGTCCATGACATGCGGAGTCCCTCAAGGCTCAGTTCTTGCGCCACTCTAATACAACAATCAATAATAGAAGTGGTCTAAATATTAAAACATCTACATCTTCTGTGGAAGTCTCAGGACCACAAAATGTTCACCCAATCAACATCTGCGTTTACATTCCACCACCACACACCCTGCTCGCGCAGACACCACACGTCACCAGTGTATTTCATGCTATGCAGAGTTGTAGACAGCCTTTTATAGTTCCTCCTGTTACAGTACATCCTCAGACTCGGATATATATGTTTGTCCACACTATCAATACCCAAATGAATCTGCAGCAGTCAGGTGGTACAAATAAGAGCTCTGTAAGTTGTTTATGATCATTATTATTATTATAATGTTATGTGCTTTGAAACATTATGTAATCTCATGCTTTCAAAGCTAGCCTCTCTGAAATTCCCACCCCTACCTTTAATTGACAGTAGTATAATAACAGTACCTGGCTAGTAGTAATTATTCATTCATGACAGGTCCAGAAATAAATAAAGTGAAATATTATTTTGTAAACAAATTTTTGTTCACCTGTTCCAGCCCTCCACTAAATCCAACATGTCTGAGATGGTTGGTGAGGAAGGTCTTGGGGCCATTAGATGAGTCACGAGCAAAGAGGAGCCAGCAGAACTCTGGGACGTCAGAGCCCTTCTCCATATTGGAGTGCAACTGAATAGCAGTCCTCAGCATCAAAAACTTCAGTGCTTCCAGAAGCTCATACTCCTCATCATGACCTCTGAACACCTCCTGGCACATGCGCTCCCTCTCTTCAAGAGTTTTACACTCAACAGACTCTTGCCACTAAAGACAAAGCAATAAAATATTGTGAGTTGAGGTATAGTTAAGTTTAGGGTCAGTAAAATTGTAATACATTAATTTAGCAAAGACTTATTGATAAAAAATTACATTAAAGACATTTATGTTACTAGTTATTTCCATTTTAAATGCCATTCTTATGTTTATCAAAGAATTCCACAAAATGTTAATCAGCACAACTGTTTTTAACATTGATAATGTTTCTTAAGCACCAAATCAGCAATTTAGAAGGATTTTTGAAGGGTCATGTGACATTGAGGACTGGAGTAATGATGCTGAAAGAACAGCTTTGCCCTCACGTGACATGAATACATTATATTTTAAAATATATTAAAATAGAAAACAGGAACATTTAACTATAACACTATTTTACAAAATTAAAAAATGTGTCTGTATTTTTGATCAAATAAAAAAAAAAAACATAAGTGAGCATGAGAGACTTATATATTCATACATAAGCAATGAAGAAAAATAACAAAAGTAACCTTTTTCTTCAGTAATTCCAGACATTGTTCAAGATGCTGAACTGTGCTCGTCCTGCTTTCAAATGGAAACTGCCACTCCTTAATAAAATCCTTATCAGAATGCATTTCTTTTGGCCACTATAGGAAGACATTCATAATGCACCAAATTAATTTACCACATAATAACATTCTATATTATTATGCTCCTTTGTGGAAGTCTTGAATTAGTAGGGATGTAATAAAGATGTCTAATGTCTCTAAACACAATAAGGCTAAATTACCTTAATGATGTCAGAGTCATGTAACCAGGCAGGAAGCTGTTTGGATTGGCTGAGCACCTGGAAGAGTGTCGCCCTCAGGGCACAATAGTTATCACCTCTTACTATGCATAGATTGAATTCACTGGCGATTGCTTCATAACCCTAGAAAAGATGTGGATGAGAGCAGGCTCCTTTAATAAGCACAGTAATGTGTGAGAGAAGAACACTCACCTTTCGGATAAGCTGACTTTTAGTGGTATTGCCTTTCCATTCTCTCTTGCTGTAGGTTTGAAGATCCTCTGCAGCTGACACGCTGCTCTGGGCCTCACCAACAGCCACTGACACCTCTAGCTCAGACAAAAAACAACCTCACAGATAATATATCTCCAACATTTTAATACAGACTGAACATTCAAAACTGGCCACTACCTGACTTTGCCTGGTGCTTCTCCTGCAGTTCTTGTTCTATTTCCTCTTGTCCTCTGTACAGGTCCAACTCACTAAGAAACAATAAGACTCAATACAAAATGGTGCATAGTAACTTGAGTCACTTCCTTAATCTAGTAAACGGCGAATAATATTTGTCAGGTCAGGTAACCATATATTTATGGTTATATTATAAATCTCTACTACATGTAATTGAGTGACGCAGGATAAAAGTGATTAAACACTGTTATTTCATGTCAAATTACATTTTCAACATAGCAATAAAAAGAGTTTTATGTCAAAGCAAAATTAACCTGGTCTAAAAATGTATATTGAACATATTAGTGAATTGTCATTGTATAAAACCATGTAAATTGTTTGACCAGAGATTAGCTATTAATTATTAAAAAGAATTTTACCAAAACTAAAAGTGATAGTGAGTTTTTTTCTTGAAATCCAAATGTAAAATTTGAAATGTAAATTAAATGTAAATGTATTCCCAAATGATTTGTCTTCCTCCTTGACATGACAAAGCTAGTTTAACCTCGATTTCACATGACAGTAGACATCTAGAATTATCCTTAGGAGTATTCATTTTATCTTCTGTAATTTATCTTTGACTTAAGGAGTACTTGACACAGCCATACTGCACTGCATTGAATCGGCTGAATTGACAGAAAGGATTACCCTTTTTCATCTTCAGCAGACCTTGACGTCTTCATCAGATGTTGCTGGGATGAATTACTGTCACTATGAGTAGATTTGGCCTCCTCCTGAGCACGTTTTTGCATACTGTGTGTAGATTCAGAGCTTCTCTTAGGTCCAGGAGAATAAGCATCTTGTCCAGCAGCCCGGCCCTTCACTTCTGCTTTCTGACCTTGAGTGCTCTGTGACGATCTAAGAGAGGAGGACCAGTTATGTCCAACATGGAATAACATATGCTTAGATATACAATGTTTACAATCAACAAATATTATAATAACTTTCAACTTGCAATAAAAATAAATAAATCAGTGCTATATGGCATACCCATTATTCTTTTTGGATTTTTTACTCTGACTCTTTTGGCCAGAATCAAACTTTGTTTTTTTCATGGTTTTGACTTGGTCAGTTTGGCGTTTCTGCACATCCTTCGTACCTGAATCATAATGACACATGTGCAGGGAGGTCCAACCTGCATCTCTGCATGGTGGGCTGATGCAGATGGAAAATACAAATAAATAGTAAATATCAAAAGCTTGAAGGTGACTACCTTACTTTTGCACTACAGCACAACACAATGCAAACAAACAGAAACACTTCCGCATTCAGTCAGATTCCACAATATCAGCAGTGACGTCACCATTCCAAATAGAAAATAGTAATTATTAATGCAACGATTTACTAACCACACTCAGACAAAACTGCCCCAACGGCGCTTGTATTTAACATACCTGCTTTTACTGTCCTCCCAAACGGGGACGATACAGAGTTACAGACCAAACAAATACTTCCGGTGAATGGGGGATTAAAGGGAAATGTAGTTTTCCGGAAATTCCAGCGCGCACGCGCAGCCGCTTCCTGTTGCCATGTCCGCTTCGCTTGTTTTAATTGTTTATGCAGTTTTTGTGTCTGCTTAGTGCTTACGGTATAATGTGACATGTTTGGTCTTAGTGTTTGGTCACCATAGCTCAATAAAATATGACAGTTTTATCGGCATTTAGTGGAAATGTATTTATTTATTTACTTATTTATTTATAAAGTCTATACATTTATTTATTTATAAATTTATTTATAATTATATTCATTAATTATAAATATAAATAAGCCAATACATTATTGAAGACATTTAACACTCTACCTAGAAACACCAAAACAAGCTGCCTGTTTTTCAGATCAGGTATATCCCTTAAATAATCCACTACTTTTGTCATCCACTAGATGACAGCATTTAGTTTATTCAGAATTGTTGTAGCCTAGGCTAGGGCAGGCTATAGCCTAACATTTCCAATAGTAGTGAATAAAAATAGAGGATCCTTTATATTATATAGTAGCTGGCTACTGCATTAAAATAAATAAAACATTAGAAATAAAAAAAGGCAACAGAGAAATGCAATTTATAAACATTTCTTTAAAAAAAATTTCGTGGTGGTCCTTCGCCATCAAGGGACCATCAAAAGTAGGCAACGGCAGGGAGGGATTGGAGCGTAAAGCGTGAGCAAAAGAGTGTAAGAATAAAAGCAACCACAAGATGCAGTATACCACATTATTATGACGCACATTCTCGAGGCATCCTCATCATCATACACGTGCTAATATTGTAACATTTACCGAAATAAATAAAGATGAATTTGTCAAACACATTTGATATCCAGCATTTTAATATTGACGAATCGTGTGTTGGTGAGTGTTGTCTGTGGCGCGCGCTGTGGCTTTAAATGTCGCTCCTCCCCCTTCGCTCTCCTCTGCTCTGGAGGTGCTGAAACGTCGCCTTTCTCGTCTCAGAGCACTAGCAGCCATGGCTGAAATTAAGACGGGCATATTTGCCAAAAACGTCCAAAAGAGGCTCAGTCGGGCACAGGAAAAGGTACGAGTCTAATTATGTTCTTATTTGTGATGGATCAAAAATGACTTGATTCTTAGAGGACGTTTTATAAAGCAAAGATGCTTTCAATCAAAGATGCGTCCAGCAGATGCTCCGGGTAGGGTAAGGAAATTCAGGTGTGCGATTGAACCTGAAATAATTTAGGTTAGAGAAAAATGTGTTTTCATTTGTCCTTCCTCACGCATAGTTTTTACATTTTCAGTGCATCAGTCCTTCAACATCATTGCTGGCGTCAGAAATGCGCAGACTGCAATCTTAGCAAGCACTGCCATTTAAAAGCGACTATAAGGAGCTCTCCATGACTGAAATCCCACTTAAACCTTCGAGGAGTTATTATCATACTTTGTGGCCTTAAATATGTTATGTACCTTCTTGTTGGAGAAATGATTGATCTCAGTTTGAACGTTGTATGACAAGATTATAATGAGTCACTGATACAGTGACACGTATTATTGTATTGTAGCCTATGTCATACTTCCTAGCTTATTCTTATTTTGGCTAGGTGTTATTCTTTATCGATTTGCCTGCCATTTCTGACGATGTAAACCAGTATTACTTAAGATGTTGGTTGAAGCTGTCATTTTCCTGCAAGGTCAGGAGAAGGGGAGGTGGGGGATGCCCTCGTCTATGCGGTATGCATACTAGCAGGGGAGGTTTCCTAGTGGCCACGAGATCGTGAAGGCCGCTTAATGTGGTCGTATAGAGACACGCTGCAGTCTCGCTCTGTTTAAAACGAGAAATAGTCCAAATAGACGAGGAGGTCTATCGCTTTCGATTGGTGTCTTTGACAATGGTATTCAGTTGCTGAATAACATTTGGTTATACGGATTTTTTTTTCTTTTTCTGCGCAATGTTTTGCAGTTCGTAGGGAACTGAAAATGAAATGTCTGTCAGCTAGTAAACTGAAGGCGTCTGGTAAACAGAGCAGTAGTGGTTTTCCCAGCCCGAGCCGAGCTGCAGTAAGAGGATTGCTTTTCTTTTAATACCCACCGTTCACTCACAGACCGAAGGCCAGCTGTAGTGAGACATCGAAAGTGAAGATTCCCTTGAAATCCTTGTATCATGTTGTCATGTTTGAACTATGGGTGTCACAGTGTTTCTCAGGGTAACTGTGTAACAGTTTTTGATAGATGCGTGATGGAGACTTAATATAAGCTTTACATCATCTGTCTGCCTTTGGAGTTGATAAACCCCTCCTAAATGTAAATAGATTAAAGCAATTAAAATATTTTATTCATTGAAATTAGTTAATTACATGTCACATGTCTATTTAAAGTGGCCAGGCTGGCTTTTAGAACATTGGTTGCTTTAGTTGATTTGTTACTGGTGCAAGACTTGAGGTCATTATCCATCAGAACAATTTAAAAATGTCCCATTATAGATGAAAGCTACTGCCCAAAAACTCAAACATTTAAAGATACAGCAAAACCATTGCAAGAATGTTTTTTTTTTGTAACTGACCATTCAACTATCAATAAAAATAACTCCCCCAACCCCAGAAACCGCAATACAAGTTATTCTTAATTTGGGGCTTATTTTTAAGAAGCTGGTTAAGTGCTGTGTGCAGTTCTTGCTGAGACAATTTAGACATCAAAACCACAACCACTACAATGACATCGGGCAAATGAAAACATTTTCATAATGAGGATCCTTGTGGCAGTTATTAATGACTGTTATATTTGATTGCCTCGTGGTATTTAACAAACAATCAATCATGACACTAATTTTTCTACCTGATGACTCATTATAGATTGATATAACGAAAAGCAGAGCTTTGGTATATTGCCAACAGAGAATCATATTTCCCTAATTTATATTATATTAATTTTTAGTCATATTTTATTATCATTTTTTTTTCTAGGACCTATCATTTAGTAATATTACCATTTGAGGATCCATTTTTGAAGCCATGCAGACACATCAAATCTGATCTGATTTCATAAGAGCATCATGAAGCCACACAGTTCAGCACAGAATGTTCACAATCTCTATCAATGTCACATGATTCCATTAGAGAGTTAAGACCAGCACATTTAAGAGCAGGTATACAATTTACTGCCTCTGGAACAGAATACCCTGGCCAGGCCAGATAACATGATAAGGGGTGTAAGAGATCCTTTAATCTGAGTTCTGGTTGGGACAGAATACCTCACATCAAGAGGGATCACTCATAATCCTGTTGCATATACTGTCAGAGGAACATTGCAGCATTGTGACAGTGTAATTGTGAACTGGGTGCAGCATTGAGTGCTAAGTGCTGTAACTTAAAGGAGTAGTTCACTTAAAAAAAAAAAAAAAAAAAAAACTTTTGCTGATAATTTACTCCCCCCATGTCATCCAAGATGTCCATGTCATTCTTTCTTCAGTTGAAAAGAAATTAAGGTTTTTGATGAAAACATTCCAGGATTTTTCTCCATATAATGCACTTTACTGGTAACCAAACAGTTCAAGGTCCAAAAGACACTTTCAGTGGAAACTCCAAACTGTTCAAAGGGCTTTAAACAATTCCAGATGATGAATAAGGGTCTTATCGAGTGAAACGATCGCTCATTTAAAAAAAAAAAAAAGTTAAAGTTTTATAAGCTCCAATGCTCGCCTTGCTCTGTTCTGTGTGACTCTCCTGTTCGAACTCGTTCATCAAAATGAACAAATCTTTTTCCGTGTCAATTCGTTCATTTTGTTCGTTGAATGAACCAAATGACACGAAAAAAGATTCATTTATTTTGATGAACGAGTTCAAACAGGAGAGTCACACAGAACAGAGCAAGGCGAGCATTGGAGCTTATAAAACTTAAACTTATTATTTGTATTAAATGAGCAATCGTTTCACTTGATAAGACCCTTATTCATCATCTTTAATCGTTTAAAGCCCTTTGAACGGTTTGCACTGAAACCGAACCGTTTGGTTACCAGTAAAGTCCATTATATGGAGAGAAATCTTGGAATGTTTTCATCAAAAACCTTAATTTCTTTTCGACTGAAGAAAGAACGACATGGACATCTTAGATGACATGGGGGTGAGTAAATTATCAGCAAAGGTTTTTTTAAAAGTGAACTACTCCTTTAATGTTTTACAAATATTTTCCATGCATTTGTAAAGCAGAATGATGGTGAAACCGCATGTAAATTGATTTGTCATTTTCTCTCGTGTCATTTCCAGGATAAATATGAACATCCGCATCTTGGGAAATCATGTATGATTGTTGGAATGGCACTGTTCCATTTGCTATAAGAGATTTGCTTTTCCTCGTTGTTTAGCAAAGCTATGAGATTATTATTATTAATTATGGGGGGTTGGTAAACATTATAAAACACTTTTTGAAAGATCATTTGTCAACATAAAATTGAGGACATTACTCCCCTGAATTGATCAGGTAGGGTGGAGTGTCTGTTTTTTGGCTTAAGCTGTGTTAATATTTCATAGGCTGGCTGCTTCTGTTGTATAGTGTTTCCATGCTTCCAGGCATTGTGTCTTAGGTTAGTACTATTTGCCTTCTGGAGAGTTCGGTCGGTGTTGATTCTCAGACTAGATGTGAGGTTTAGGGCATTTCAAAGAATTGAAATAGAGATGAGCACATACCAGAGTGATTTTGGTCTTTAATTTTTATGGTGCGATAGAGTGCTTAAAGTAATGTTACATTTGGTACCTTTATTATTAACAGCAGAATAATACTCTGACCTCTTTTTTTAATCTCTTTTAAAAATATTTGTGTGCATTATTAAAGTATTGAGCCTGAGCATTATATGTTTTGCATGAATGTTATGTCAATACTGTACCTTTGTGATGCATATTTCCTGATGTCATTTACCATATATCTATCATGGGATATTGGTGTCACAACACACTACCTATTGATCTATATCAAAGCCTCTACTAACATGCGTGAGTGTGTTACAAAGAAAAGACCCAGATGGCAAGTTCTTTCCAC